AATGCAGAAGCGCTGATTGTCAATCATGCCCAATTATCCCAATTACTACATTATAAATAGGGCTGCACTCTAGTTTTGTTGAATGGTTAAATAGAGGTGTATCTTGGGGTGGATTAACTTCAATGATGAAATCTCTTGATATGAGGTCTAGTTTCTTATTAATTTGATATACATGTGCATAGTGTCTTTGAATTTGTGGATCTGAACAGTTTGCTGGAATATGCAATTTGAGCTGCTCCTCTCTCAGGAATGTAACTTAATTATTGCTTTTTGTTTTTTTTAAATGAATGCTGACATGTGTATTGAGGTATGGAAACTGCCAGTACTAGCATCAGACTTAGTGCGGCTTTTTATTCTTTGAGATCCACCCAAGGCTCTGATTTCAAGCTTGATTTGCAACCCAAATGCTGCCCAGAAAGTCAGTAGAATGCCATGTATGGTCTTTTTACTTTTGAATACCTTTTTAAAAAAAACAGTTTTGTTTTATAAAGTTATCAGAGAACACTAAATCTTGAAATTTGCATTACATCAACAGTGGTTTGCTTCTACTGTATTTGTAAGCATAAACCTTTATGGGGGTCGAGGTGTTTGTGGGTCAAACCAAAGTAAAATGGTCAGCAGATGTTGCTCTGAATACAAGAACATACGGTAGGTCATTCGTTAATAAAATTGTATTTTCTTGCAGAGTAGTTGGTTAAGAAATGTGGAGTTAATGACGTAATTTACAAAATGGGCTAAAGCAGTTCCTGAAGCCATTTTGTTAAAATAATGATATTCTTCATATTTGATATAGCACCTTATCACATCGTTGAGATGTCTCAAAGTGCTTCACATGTATACTGTAAAGATTGGCTTTCTGGTCACTCACTCCATGTCCCACAAACAACCATGGAGTGGTTTAGAAATACTGAATGAGCTAGGGCATTTAGTTAAACACTTAAAGATACTCATTGCATGTTGAGATTTGCCATTCTGAACAGCAGCAGTCTACATTTTAAATTTATTTGGTAACTTTTTCCAATCATAGGGAAAAAGAAATAGGGAACATAATCCACAATAGTATTTAAAAAAGGGAATTGGCCAAATCTGCTGTGAAGTAAAAATACAGAATGGGGAAATATATATGGGGAAAAGATGGGGGCAAGGGACTCATCCGATAGACCTTAGAGATGGCTGGCACAGATACAGTGATTCAAATGAATTTCTTCTGTGCTGGGATCTTCAATAATTACATGAAGCGATGGAGGGTGAAGCTTGCTCTGCTCCACCATAGCAATTTGCTTTAACCCCAGACTGAGACTTGGAAGTTTTAGATCTGCATTATTTTTACAACAACAACAAGATTCCATTTATAGAGCGCCTTTCACGTCAGGAGGACGTTTCATTTAAATATGAAACATATAATGCACAGCTCGATTCATGTGAATGGACATGATATTATTCTGCCGCATCAATTGCACTCAACAAAGAATGCAGCCAGCTGGTCCCTGCTTTATTTATTGTGGAAACTCGAAGAAATTATATATTTAAATTGTAGAGACAAGTTTTCCATTATTATGAGATATAGACTATAGAATTATGGAAAATATTTTCAATTTCCTGGTCATGTTTGTGATATATTTACAACACAAGAATGGAAAATTATTTGCCTTTTGTACTGGAGCCTCTACTCTAAAGCACCTATGGAAAATATGCTACAGTAAATACTGAAGTGCTTTGAGATGTGTTAAAATGCTATATCAAATGCAAAGTTTATAATTTTATTATTGATTAATTTGCTGGAGTATTTTCAGTGTGCTACTGAGATGGGATTAAATTGCATCTGCAGAAACTACATCGCATTTGATATCCTGGGTAGCCACAAATTGGTGCTGGAATATTTTCTACTGAACAACCATAACATGACACACTTTCTGTCATTCTAATTAATAGGTAATGCCATATTTTCATTTATAGCATGAATAATGGGAAATGTGTACCTAGCATCAGTGCACATTTGCAGTATAACTTTTTCAATGTTCAAGAAATTGAATTTATGATTTTTTTTAAAAAAATTCAGTTTTCAATGAAGACATTTTAAATTTGAATAACAAATTGTCTCCTTAAGTTGTGATGCTGTCAATATCCTGACTGCTTCCCATGCATAATATTAATAAGGGCCTTTTGCTTTACTTGTCACTCCATTTAACATGTAACCAGTCGCATTCTAGAAATCGTCCTACAAATTGGCATCTCTTGCATCGCAGAGATCTCCCACTCTATCCTGTGACTAATGCAGGAGCTCGGTGGAGGTCGGACTCACATTGCAGAGGTCTCTGATCTATTTGAAGGCCGCCCCAGGGCTTCCCAACCTGCCTCCCACCCCACTCTAATAGACCAGAGGCCTCTGCAGTGCATCAGTGCATGTGTGCCCAACCGCCGTCGACTGCCTGTACCAGTTACAGCGCCCCTTGTGGCCCAGGTGGACCTACGTCTAACTTGTCACTCCGGATAACTAGTTGTTGAGCCCTTTTCCTGTGGAGTGACGAGTTATCACGAATTTACTGATTCAAAATGAATCTCTTTAAGAAGTGTTGTTGCTCAAGGATTCACGGTCAATCTTTTATAACTGTGAGAAGCATAAAACTGGGGGTACTATATTTTGAGTGTCTGAATATTATTGTTAGAAGTTGGAATTTCTGCATGGCAGCTGGGGTGTTGCATGTCATGTGTGATCTGTTTGGCTTTGGGAAGTGTGGTATTTAAGATAGATGTGCAAATTTTAGCTTGGTGTTGGTGATGTAATTGAAGAATGGCAGATTAACACCAGTACTTTATCAGATCATCAGTTTTGACTTTTCAGTCACGGGCTTAATTCAGGCTGCCCTGGTTGTAACGGTGGTTTGAGTCCCCATATTAGGGCTTGCACTAAAAAAACACCTGTCAGTGGTTATGGGTTATCAATTTTCTACTGACTACACTTCTTGCATGTTGCATGTGCACATTGTGTGCAGGAAGCTGGACAGAAACAGGAAGTATATAATAGGCCTACACTACACCCTACAAGTAGACTTATGCTGTACATCATAATAGGGTCCGTCTGCATTCATACTTGAGTGGTCTTTCAGTAATTTTGGTTTACCAAAGCAAAATGTGTAAATTATTCAGGAGTCTTGAACTTTTACCTTTTAATCTCAATCTCATTTTCTCTTTCGTGTACCATGTAAATGCTATAACCATGAATGAAATTTGAAAATTTGTGCTACGAAAGAGAGAAGTAAAAGTTTGTTTTGGGAGGACAAAGGAGTCTTGAATGTTTTCCAGATCAGGATAAATTAGGTAAGAATACCCAGTGAAATTGTCATGCTAAAAATCATCCTGGTGTTCATGGATGCATAGAACTGTTGAAATGATAGATTCATTTGAGAGTTGATTGCAGCTTTCATGACTTTAGATGGAACAGAGTTGGGGGGAAAAAATAGATTGCTTTCTTACATCAGATGAACATGAGGAAATTATAATGGCCTACTTGTTTATACTGTGCTGGCAGTATTACCAAAATTGATCTAAGTCACGAGTTTTATTTTGCACTTATATTAGATATTTCCTGCCTGTTAATATTTTAGTTTTTCTTGATGCAGCAGTTTTTCTTTAGAGATGTGGGCTGGAGGATGTTGCTCCCAAACAACTGCTATTTTTTTAACTTGATTCATTTTGCTCTGGTTTACAGAAATAACTTTCAAAGTATGGTTTATGTTTGTAGTGTGGTTCAGCATTAGACATGCATTAAAGTGGACTCACAGGACTTTTGGCAAACACAATTACAGATCTATGTTAACATTGCACTATACCTCATGGAATTAACATACACGTAATTCATGTTATTAAGATATATAATTAACCACAAAAGAGAAAAGGGCCTACAACTATTCTGTCTTTCTTCCTAAATGTATTGAGGCTCTGCGGTTTCTTCCCCAACAAGAGCTTATAAAAACTGAGAAATTTCTTGTGTCACATTTAATTACTGTAATCTGCTTTATAGTTACTCAGCTAAGAGCAGCTTTCTTGATGGAGGAAAACAGTGTCATTCTCTTGAGAAGCTCATATGCAAATAGATTAGAACTTGTAGACAGATGGTTGTGTTCAGCATTGTAACTTAACACTGCTAAAGTGACCCAAAGTTCAAGTAGCTCTTTGAATAAATAGTATTGTGTTACACAAAAGTGCAAGTTTAAGTCCAGTATCAGGAGCTGCTTTATTTGGCTGCTTGGTTGCTTTTCTAAGCGACTTATTTTCTTTCCATTTTTCTTCATTGCAATCTATGAATATATTCATCTGAACTTTTCAGAATATCATTGTAGTTTACAAGAAAATATATATATATTTTTGGAGGGTGTTTTGGAACTCCTAGTCTTTAACTTGTATTGTTTGGAAAGGCTTTGTTTGTTGCAGAAGAAAATTCTAGATCCTTATCATTATTTAGTATTGATCTTTCCAGATATCAAGAATCGGATATGATAAAATGGTATGCAAAAGCAAGATACGCTTGCTTATCAAAGGAAGAGGGTGTTGATCACAAACAAAAGTAGCAAGAATATAAAATCTAAATGTTTATCATAATCCTCGAAAGTTTGGCATTTGTTGGTATTGACTTCTTCTAATTCTCTTCATTTGGATAACTCCTTTTGTAATTATTCCCAGGTGTCCATCTTTCTATACGATACATAATGGCTACTTATGTTTTAATGGAGCAAAAAAGTATTATATGATTATTCCTGTCCCTCAATATGACTTACCCTTGCACTTTTTCTTATATACCCTTGTTTGATCGCATTCCAAAGACTGTGGTGATAGATAATGTGAGAAAGCACACAAAAATTAATGTTATAGAAAATGTAAGAAATGTACAATTGAAAATAAATAATTTTGTTTCACTTCAAACTCCTGTGCACTAATGATCTAAATCTTTATGATCTCTTGACGTCTGTAAAATTACTGCTCAATACTTCTTTTTTCTCTAGAAATTTTTTTACCAAGAAGATAAAAGAACAAACACCTCCTACACACAGTGCTCCTGGTTGGAAGTTATTTGGAAAAATTCCACCAAGAGAGAATCCACAGAAAGACTCCAAAACAATCCAACAGGTAAGTAGTTGAAAGCTATACACGCCACATTATTCCAGCTTCTCCATTTTAATATATGCTTTATAACTTATTAAGGTTAAATTGTGTTCTTTGATATCCAAGCTATGAGTGGCACCATCCAATTGATAACTTGAACACATTTCTGGAATTATATGCTTCCTGTTTCAACAAAGGATCTGAGTTATGGACCACTACATTATAATGGGATGAACATGGACATTGGTTTCATTGATGATAGCCTTAATTCTAATGCAGTCGGTAAGTGCAGCAGGAGATGCTTTATAAAATACGACTTGTGCAAAGAAATCTAAGTGGGTTTCGGTAGGAAAATGAATGGGACTCTGGTGCATGTACAATTTAGGAGATTTATAAAGGTAAGGTAGCTATAGTTGTAAACATAATGAAGAACATGGTTGACATTGATTAAACCCTTGTTTGTATCCTTGGCTTTGACCTGTTTTGCTCCAGGATTACCCCAAAGAGCAATGACAAACCCAGGTTCATTTTCCTTGAACAACCTCTGTCCATGTGATATTTTATTAGGATTAAGTTCATGATCACAAATGGCTGCCAGCCAACTCAAATGCTGAGTCATTTCGGAAGAGAATCATCTAGTTAACTTAAAATAGTTTAGCATTGCTTGAAAACTAATTCAGACACAGCTGATGTGCTTGTAGTAGTAATTGCGTAATCCACGGTTGGGCTTTTATAAAATTAGAAATGTATTATTCTAGGTCCACAAAATAAAAATAGCCTCCAGTCCCACTTTCAGGTTGTCAGGTTGATGCTAACTGGCTGGCATCCAGTGCATGTGCCAGCATGCAAGAACGTAGTCAGTGAGCATAACCAGTCTCAAACATTTCTAGCATTTGAAATTCACGTGACATTGGTCACAACTAACCAGCCAGCTTCGTGAGGGTGTGCACAGGAAGGTGGCCAGGCAGTGTCAGAAGCAGGAGGTTTTCTGTACTTCTGGTACAGTGCACATCCATAGTCTTAAATCCTAACCAGAAACGTGATATGTAACCGACTGTTTAGAATAAATGGCACACAGGCAAGCTTTGGGTAACATTTTTTTTAATTATGTACTTTATGTGCCTTTTCCTCATCTGTCCTGAAGCCTTGATGTTGCTGATTAAACGAGTACTGTGATTTATTTATGCTCTCCTCCCACATCACACTTGTCTCTGCTGCCTCCAACCAACACAATGCTTCAGGCTTTTCAGCATGAGCAACTTTGCTGGCGCTCAAAAGTGTCTTTCTGGCCTCCTCGAGGTTATAATAGGGTTCAAAGGTAACTACAGTTGGCAACCAAATCTTGCAGCTGGTGTTTTTCATCAGCCAGCAATGCAAGTAAACACTATAGGACTTGGCCATATTTCATAATTTGTATTTCCTTCCTCTTTCTTCTTATAGAAATAACTAATGAGACACTAATTGATAAGTTTGACAAATTTTTTTTTTGCGTAGTTTGCCAGGCAATTGCTACAAACATCAGTTTTACAGCTGTAACTTAAATCGGTCACCAAATATCTGTTTTTGAACGCCTGGTCAGTTTTGATGATTAGAATTTTTTTTGCTATTACAGTTTTAGATGAAACTCTGGAATGCTGTCTCCCTACAGCTCAGTGTTACTCCCTCATTTTGTTATTAAATGCAATCGCAAATCCTACATCATTGAGTGTGCTTATGGCCAGCTCCTTACCCCTCTTCTGGGTGCAAATAAAACATTCTGAAATGTTACCTAAATGAAGGGTGCTGTATAAATGCAAGTTGTTGTAAATAATCAGATATTATATAACATGCTAATACATTATTAAGCTAACTTCAGACAGCCAGATGTGGTCCTTGGAAAGTTGCTCTCCCTTCTCTCCTCCCTCCTCCCCCCGGGATCAAATAATCGCTTTGAACTGGTGTTTTATTTATAATTTTTTCAACTCAAGCATGTAATTGAATAAGTCTGCTGGGAATAGACTGGGAATGTATATTGTGGGTACGTGTAACGCACACCTGGATTTATATATTGAGCTGTGATCAGTCAGGTGAATGACTCGCTGACTCAGTGGGATTCAGACTGTAGTAATATGTAGTCTTGAGTTGAGACATTTTATTGGTTTTAAACTTGAGAACCACAAGAATTTGCTCTGCATATTTGTTAGAGTGGAGTCAAAATAGTGATCTCATACTTGCGGTGTAAACTGAACCTTTGTTTTTGCTTTCGAGTCTGCAATCCCCACAGTGGTGCAAAAACCACTGACCTTGAAAATGAGCAAGAAACTTTGTGAATGGAAGCTTGCTAGCAGCTTTTCAGAAAACGGTTGTTGAACTGTTTAGTACTAAAATGGTTTAAATAAAACAAGTACTTTTACTTATTTTTGAAAATTAGGTTGACAACTTGACTTGCTTATTATTTCTTTGTCCGTGAGGATAGTAAATAATTGTATTTTGCAATTGAGTTGAGGGATCAGAACTATTCTTTCTGTAGAACTGTGTAATAATAATAATAATCCTTGCATTTGATATAGCGCTTTTCACGTCGGGAGGACGTCCCAAAGCGCTTCACAGAATATACTGTAAAGTGAATTGACCGTATATTTGTGGGCGAACGCGGCAGCCAATTGCGCAGAGCAATGTCCCACAAACAGTCATGGATTGAAAATGACCAATTTATTATTGTTTTGGGTTTTGGAGGGATTATTATTAGTCGTGTGGAGTAAGGAAACTTGCCCAAGATTTCGCCCTGCCTGGAATTGAACTCAGGTCTCTCACTTGCAAAGCGAGTGCTCTAACCACTGAGCTACAGGACTCCACTCAGGATCTGCCCAAATTGAACACTCATATTTGTATACTCATTCTCTGCTGTGACAATAAGACTCTTAGATGTAGAATAATTATCATACCAACACTACTGAATAAACATGAAATCCATCGGTTTGTGTACTAAATACGGTGAACTTTTCTCTGCATGTTAATGATTGGATTTTACATTTTAGTGGTTAGCTTATGATAACTTTCTAAATCCATTTGCTGCAAACATTTTCAGCTCCTGAGTGATTTAGCCAATGGGATGTAAATATAAATGGGCACAAAAATAAGCGAGTACTATCGTATAAAAATTAGCAACTGGATCATTAATTCCATGTAAAGAGTAGGTAGATTGCTAGTGGTGGTAGTATTTAATTTTGTAATTAACATGTACAAGTCTTTTTCCCAAAATAATACCACGGTAGTTGTATACTGGATCATAAACACTGTTCTGCAGGCAGAGAAAGCACTCCAGCATTGAACAGGTTTATTTGTGTTCAGCAAAATAATATATAATGTTCAAATAATCATTTTATAAGATAGGAGTTAAATTGTAGCAAGAATTAATACTTTTGTATCAATTTCTGCAGGAAAAGTAAATTACCGAAACTGATTGTGAAGCATATGTAACAATAATAATAACTTTTGCACTTGATGTAGTGCTTTTTACGTCTTTTAGATGTTTCAAAGCGCTTCACAAAATATATTGTAAAGTGAATTGACTGTATATTTGTGGGCGAAACGCAGCAGCTGTGCACAGTGTCCCACAAACAGTCATGGATTGAGTGACCAAATTATTTGTTTTTTTTTCTTGAGGGATTATTATCAGGCATGTGGAGTAAGGAAACTTACCCAGGGTTTCGCCATGCCGGAAATCAAACCCAGGTCTCTTGCTTGCAAGGCGAGTGCTCTAACCACTCAGCTACAGGACTCAGGTGAATCATGTAGTAATAATAATAATAATCCTTGCATTTGATATAGCGCTTTTCACGTCGGGAGGACGTCCCAAAGCGCTTCACAGAACACACTGCAAAGTGAATTGACTGTATATTTGTGGGCGAATGTGGCAGCCAATTGCGCACTGCAATGTCCCACAAACAGTCATGGATTGGAAATGACCAATTTATTATTGTTTTTTGGTTTTGGAGGGATTATTATCAGGTGTGTGGAGTAAGGAAACTTGCCCAAGGTTTCGCCCTGCCTGGAATTGAACTCAGGTCTCTCGCTTGCAAAGCGAGCGCTCTAACCACTGAGCTACAGGATTCCATCATGTACCAATGAATGCTCAGGAATGTACAGTATGTAGTTTACATGCATTCTGGCACACTATCTAGGACAACTTCTATTGGGATTTTGCAACAAACTGGCTCAGTTCTGTGCAAACCATTTCTTGAGTAACTGAGACAGTTATCATGCTTGTCAATTTGTTCTGTTTAGGATTAGCAATTTTCATGCTGGATATAAGAAGAAAATCCAAGTTACTACCCTGTGCAAATGGAATTTTAAGTTGAATCTTCAAAGTAAAGTACAAGTTATAGTGAATGATTTCCATGCGACAAGAGGGTAAACTGATTGGTCTTCATGGGTAGGATTGGTCTTCATTGGACTTAATCTGTGAGTTTGCTTTGGACCGATTTACAGCTGATAGTATTTTCATCTTTCAGCTGTTTCACATTAGTCATTGAGTTCTGCCTTTATTTTGTTACCCAAGTCACGTGAGCCAACACCAACCATATCCTTTTATGTAGAACATTATTCTTTGATTTTCTTTTGACGTCATAAGATGTAGCAATAGATTTTTCAGTATCTATTATGTATGCAATGAGAAAGATCCCTTATATAAATATTGTTACAAGTGAAAAATGAAATCAAAAACATGAAAAGGCATTAATGCATTTAATTTAATTTGTTAGTTCTTGAACTATTATAAATGTTAAAGTCGGACGTATAATAAATATTCTTTGTTGTGCAAAAGCCTGTAGTAAGAATGAGGGGCATTAAGCGAAGGCTCCTTCAGTCAGCAGTTTGAATTTTGGAGTAAACCATGCTGAGCTTTAGAGAAATCTGAGCACTGTTTGGCCTGTTTTATTCCTGTCTCAAACATGGTAGTCACTCACTGGTATTGGTCCATAAGCATAAAAAGGTGGATGTCTGATTTATGTCAATAAGTAGGTAGGGCAGATGCACCTTTGCATGTCATGATGTATATTGAGTGCTGTGCTTGCACAATGTTCCTCCGTGTCAGCCTATTCTCTTGTCTTTTTCTGGAGGTTGGGCAGATGATCAGTGAGATGCTACTGATTTACTCTAGGATTTTCATGCTGAATATACTGTACTTTCATACCAGGATATTAACTGAGCTCCGTACTAGATTGAATTCAATAGCTATTATAATTGTTGTTTTGTAGGAGAGCTCAGTCAGAACTCTGAGCGTAGCTTAAGTAGTTGGTGCCATTCAATTCAAATCGTCATTAACCCACCATCTAGAGGAGATAGGTGCTTTAGAATGAGTTTATATAACGCAGGTTATCACTATAATTGCAGTAAAATGATTTATTTATTTTTTTAGCCCAAAAGAGACATTTTTGACTGCGCTTTCAGTTATCTTCCCTCCCACCCCCAGCTCAGGTGTGAAATGCTTTGAGTCATCATACTGATGTGTGAGAGATGCTATATAAATCTAAATTGTATTGTATGTGTTTTCATTTGTGTGTGGAGTCCTGTAGCTCAGTGGTTAGAGCATTCGCCTTGCAAGCAAGATTCCTGGGTTCGATTCCCGGCACGACGAAACCTTGGTCAAGTTTCCTTACTCCACATGCCTGATAATAATCTAGAAAACGTGAAAAGCGTTATATCAAATGCAAGGATTTTTTAATTATTGTTTTCATTTACAAAAGCAATTGTCTTCATTACTGCCATGGTATCGGGTCCTGATAAACAGCAGACTGCCCAACTGTGTAGAATGATAACAGTTTGGAAACTTACTTTTACATTCACCTTCAAGCATTCCATATCAGTCCATACATATATGATGTAGAACTAACAAGTAAGCAGGAGAGAGAATTTTGAAGCATCTGTTTTCCTGCTTTGATACTGACCAGCTTCTCCCTGATGAATCAGTAATTTTCTTTGGGCTTAGTATGCTTTCAGGTTGGTTGTACATACAGCAAACAATGGAAATCTAATTTCTCGTGTTTCTTTTCATAACTTAACCCTTCAAAATTTCAATTTTGTGTAGATTCCCCATTGAGTTTTAATCTTTATTTCCATAGCTAATGTCACTTACATTTTATATTACATTTGAGGTCATTAATTGAAAATTGTGATTTATTTAAATAGATTGTGTTTATATTGGGACAATCATATTGTAGCTTCTGAGTGTGCATTCTATTGTATCCTGCTGCAGCTTGTCTTCGTCTCGTTTCCCCCCCCAAAAAAATGTATTTTAAATTGTGTGTATGTATCTTGTGTTTCGTTTTCTCTGATTTGACTCTGTTTCTCTCATCAGGACAGCTATGGTTGCAATCTTGCGTCAGTGTCTGCACCTAACCTGTTCAATACAGGGGTATGAACTTACTACATTTCCTTCCGTCAGTTTTGAAACCATGCATGACACTACTGTTGAAGTGTGTTTGTCTTTCACCTGCACATTTCTTTATTTTAGCATGATGTGCGCAAGCCATATTTCTGTACTGGCATAACATTGAAAACCCCATTTGAATGCAATAAGAGAATGCATCTGAACTCGCTTGTCACAATGATCTTCACTGAACACTTCAATTGCCATCTGACTAGCTAATCATTTAGTTCACTTTTACATTAATAATACAGCATTAAAGTCAAAATATTGTTATGTTGGTTGTGATGATAAGTGACATAAGATTTTTTTTTAAACCCAATTTATTGTTTGCCCTTGGGTTAGTTACTTAACTAAGGATTTGAAAAGCAACAGAAGCCATTTTAGTTAATTTTGAGGTTGCCGTTGTACCTCCTTAAAACCTACCCACACAAAATGAACTTATTTCACCGGTGTGCTGTGGAAATTTCTCCCTCCTGGTTTATTTTAGCATGACAACAAACCTGCAATGTCCTGTAAATCAAATCCATCAAAAGAAAATTAAGTACTATATATTGCTCTGATAATGAATGTAATGTTTATGCTTGGCAACAGAGTAAAATCTGACCCCATTAGTATTGTTTACTTCTAGCCAAAGCTTAATGTACAGGACTGCCTGCATGTATTTTCTTGCAAATATCACTATGCTAAATTGTTTAAATAATTTACATTACAAAATACATTATTACTGAAATAATTCTCTGGAAATCTGCATTTTATGTGATGTCTAATTTGTTGTGCTAGCAAAAGAATGAAGGGAGGGTCAGGTCTGTTGTTCTATAACTATTAATGGTGTGTTTGTTGGAAATACTGAAATTATAGCATAGGAGAGACCTAAACAGGTGCTATTTTATCAACTGGAACTAACTAATCCCAATTCCCTGCTGCTTATCCATATGAATTATTGTCTTCGTCTTGAAATATTTATCCGATTCCCTTTTTAAATGGTTCAGATGCGGCCATTTGTTTACATGCGCCTAAGCTTGTATTTTTCAATGATAGGAATGTTAAATGTATTGTATTAAGTTGTTGTAATTGGTTTTGTTTTTAACAACTCAAAATTTTCGTTTCGCCCACAAAATATACAGTCATTTCACTTTGCAATATATCCTGTGAAGCTCTTTGAGACGTCTCGAAGACGTGATAAGGCGCTATATCAAATGCAAGGATTATTATTATATATTTACAAGAAATTGCTGGCTACTGGCCTGTACTTTTTTTTAGCTTTAGAGAATGTTGAAATGCAAATTAGTATGGATTTATTTTACATTTTGCTATCTAATTTGGAAATGATTATACCACTCCTGAAGGAAACAGATGTGAAATTCATAAAACACCCAGTTTATAAATGATCTTAGAAATGGATTATATTGTGTTTGGTACATGCAAATAATGCAAAAAAAAAAACTCCACTGATTAACATATAGATATCTGTCAAAACTGTCTGCTGAATTCAGTACTTTGGTATTGTTGATGAGAGTACTAATTCCCTTATAGTTTTGGAACATGCCATTGCATAGTGTATTGTGCTGGTGAATTAGTTCTTTCTGAATCAGTTGATTTAGTTTCTGATGACTGATTATGTTTTGTGTGCAGATATACCGCTTTACTACTCTCAGAATTCTGCCAGCATGCAAATACGAAACCCTGATTTTTGGTTGTCTGTACAGTCATTTCTTTAGAAGGGAACTTTTGCATGAGTGAAATTTTTCAAATGAGTAATAGCCCACAGATGTTCTGTGAAATGCTGGAATGCCAGCTGTCCAATTGTTGCATTCAGTGTGTTATCCTGAGCTACATAATGGTTTAATTGTGGGACTATCTAATGGGCTTTAGATCGGAGAATAAATAGTGCAATTTTTAAAACTTAGAAGGTTTGCAATGAATGGAAATCAATAATGGCACCAGTTATAAGAGGGACTGAGTGGCACCATGTATTCTGAAATATATGTGACCGAGTTATTTTGTTTTTTTGCAAATGCTATTTAAGTCATGGTGAAGTGAATTTATAAAATGTTTTATAATTTGGAGATTTTCAACAATTATTTCTAGTTATTTTTAAACTTAAGGTTCTGTCTTAAATTTGTCAGAATACAGCTAACAGGCTCTAACTGAATTTTTTAAAATTTCATGTTATTTACTAGATAGGTGGTTGAATCTAATTTTATGACTTGTGCATTTTAATTGTAACAAGTGATTTCTATGTTTATTAAAAAAACTGGAATCTGAGAGAGGTTTCTGCTTGTGGTTTTAAAATATTAACTCTATTTTCTGATCGAATGGCAGGCCCTCTCACTTGTTGCATGATGGCTCAATATTCCATCATAGATCAAGTATGGACAGGAGAATTACTGCTGATGTATTACTACTGTCCAACATTGAGACATTGAGATCCTATTCTGCGTGACGAATAAATGGAAGTTGTTGTACTGGGCCTGTATATTGAGAGTTTCAGAGTACCTTCAGGTTACATTTAAACGAGAGTGGAAAGTGCCACACTGCCATCAGAGTTTTAGGAGCCTCCTATATCTGAGCCAGGTTTGAAATTGTACTAACAGGGGTAGTACAGTATAGTGCAGGGACAGGCACAATAGGTTCCTATTTGCATTTGTTACTGTACAGCAGTATTCAATAGAAATCACTGACTAGTCACAGGTGTGCCTACTGGTTTAGCCACATGCATTAATTTTAGTACAAAAAGACTTACGCTTGCCCGATGCAGGTAAATGTAAACACCAACTTAATATAGTGTCCTTATTATGAGTACTGATCTTATAAGAGTTGCCAGCTGGACTTGTTTATGCTATGAACTTGGCATCCAATATCCTAAAATTGTGCATTAATTGCATAAGAATGTAGACATTCAGATTATTTAAGAATAAAGTAAATTTAGGTGACGCCTTTGAAATCTTAAATGAAAGTTTTTTTTGTGAGAAAGTATTTGTGTTGTTGAAATTCTTTTCAAAAGAAAGTCTATCCTTCCATCTTTCCATATTTGAGTTGTCAAATTTGGTGGTCGCTTAGTAAATTTAGTTCAGCGAATATGTAAACAAAACCTAGATAATGTGAAAGTTCTGTGCACTTGTATTCTCATTTCTTTAAAGGTTTAGTGGGATTTCTGAACTTTTCAAAGCTTCTCATTCATGTTTGTGCCCAGAATGTTTTCATCGCTGCATGATGGTTTAAGAATTGCTGAATATGTTTGATTTATTGTCTTGGAAAAACAATCTGAACAGAGTTCTTAAAATGCAAAAATCCAGAATGAGAGGGAAATTGTCATTTCACACTATTTTACCTGCTGTTCCAGATTTATTGTAAAAATATTTAACAGTAGATATTACAGGTGGTGAAAAATGTCTTCAGGGGGAACGAGACAGATATGCAAATCCTCTATTCAAAAAGCAAAACTTTTAATTGGTTTACAGCTTAGAGTACCCAAGAAATATCTTGTTGCCTAATTTAAAACAATTGTTATTGCATCTCAGTTTAATCTATTAATGACTACTGCTGGGTCTACCTTTCCTCCTGTGCTATCACTGTCATAAATAACTGTTTTGAAACGTAAACAGGTTGTTTTTGAATGCATTTCTTTGTTTCTGCTTTCTTTTATGTAGGAGAAAAGCTTTGAAGCACTTAAATGTGAAAATATTGGAAGTGTGTACCATGTTAAATGTTTATTTTATTTCTGCAAACAAATAGGAATATGAAGCTCGAACTGGTCGAATGACCAAACCCTCACTCCAGGTAGGCCGGCGACGAAATCTTGAGTTTGAACCACTGTCAACCACTGCTTTGATCCTGGAGGATCGGCCTGCGTAAGTATCTTCTGTAATACACTGCAGAAAATGTAATGCAATTGGGTGCAGGAAAGAAAGATAGAATTCACTGGGTTGGTCAGTTTTTTTNCTGGTTATTCACTTAGATTTGCCAATTTACAAATTTTAATCTGCAAAAACATAATCATAATTTTCTCCCATACCCATAATTTTTTTTACATATTTACTTAACAGTGCTTTGTTTGACTTTCCAATTGCAAAGTGCCATTTGCGTTGCTTCCTGCTTGATGGCAGGATGTTAATGTTAGAGGGCCACCCGTGTGTAACGCACGTGCACACTGCACAGGACGTGACGTTACCGGTGCTGCTGTGTGCAGTCTGCATTTGCGCTGCAGGAAATTACATCTATGGAAACCTTATGACTTGGAAATCTGCCATCTTTGTAAGGTTTGTTCAAAATCCAAGGGGAAAAAAAGGTGAAATAAACATTGATATTTATCCATTTATCTAAAGAAAGATAAACAAAATTGGAAAGGTCAAAATATAACACACTGAATACTTTCCTTAGCACCCGTTTTCTTTCTGATAGGATTGAGATTGTGTTACAGCTGCTTATTGAAACACTCATGTATGCCTGGCAAATCTGAAACATAGTGACTTTGACTCTAATTGGATTTAAACTAAAAAGAGACTATTTATCTTGATATTTTGGTCCCCATTTAAAGGCTCTCTCAAATCCCTCCTCTGTAAAAGATTCCTCAATCAATGCACTACCTCTGACTAGCTTGTTTCCTGAAAATCAGTGGTGTTTTGCCAAATTGGGATTAGAACCTCACCTGTTAGATTTTTAGCAATAACAATCTGGTAAATTTTCCTTTTCTTTATTTTAATCTTGAGTGCAAATACTTTATATGAAATATATTGAAATTGGTCATCAAATGTATTTTTTTAGTTGCAAATTAAACGAAGGAAAATAAAGGAAAGGAAAAAGTTAAGTGAAATGCATTTGTGAAGCTTTCAAGTGGCTCAGCTGGAACAGCTTTGTGGTGATGCTATAGTTGGCCTTGGTTTCCTGCATTAGAGAAGGGAAAATGTAGGCTAAGTTCTTGATCTCTGCTGGCCCTTACCCAAGATGAGTTACTGTCTTCAGGGTGAAAGAGGAAATATGAGGGGGTGGATGGGGAGAGAGGAAGTAAAAAGTTAAAATCAATAGAAAAGGTACTCTTTTCCCCAACCAAAAGATCATATAGGTTCAGATTTTAAGGGAAGTTGAAGTAAATTGTATTTGCCTGGCCTTGGGGTATTTGATACTATCCACAATAGTGAAATGTTCCTCAAGAGATGGGGGAGAGAGAATATAATGCTTTCTTTCTTGCTGCCTGAATTTCTACTTGTGGGTTAGTGGTGACGTGGATTGTGGAAAATTTGGTCCCCCAATTGCCCTCTCCTGGTCATATCAGGCTCTTGCAGGTCAAAAAAGGGAGTTAAAAACAATTGTTTGGACCAAATGTGGGAGGTTTGTTATTTCAATCTTATTCCCGTTTTCATTTACTGATCAGCAAATTTGTTTCTCTTCAGCTACTCTATTTCGTTTTGATAATTTGCAAGATGCAGATTATCTTTGCAAAATAAAGCCAACTTGGGTCATCAAGGCGATGCGGGCAAATCTTTCCTGAGCTTAATTTGGTTGTGACTTAGTTCAGGTGTAGCCAGCTGTTTTACAAGGCTTACAGCAGTAAATTATTTTGTCCCGCTTAAATATTAGGTGTCTTTTATTCTGTTTAAAGCAGCTAATGGTAGTCAAAATGAAGCATTGTTCAGTTGCTGTTTACTTCTATGAAAGGTATGACTTATGAAAAGCAATTTTTTTTTAAAATTTAACATTATAATAGGTTTGATGGGTGCCAGAACTGCCTAACTAGTTGCTTGCTGAAATAAATGGTCTTCCTAAAAGTAGTGATCGTGGAGTATGAAGTTGCTTGTACAGGCATGGTCTTTTTGAAAGAGCATTTTCCCTTCATAGTCTTTAGCTTTGAAGAAGACACCATATCATTAGCTCCCAACAAAACTACTACACTGCTAGCATGGGGAGGGTTTGGGATATTGAGAATGTTTTTCCATTGCAGTTTCTTACTGTTGCTAATACAACTACTCCACATTATGTACAGGGAGTTTTAAAAATCAGGAGGTATAATTCTGATGGTACGAGTTGCTTATTCAAATGGTTTTATACTGCATGTTACATGCAGGAAGAGGCGGTGGGGGAGAAGAGAGAAAGAGGATAAGTACTTTGTACAATCTAAAGTTGCTATTTTTCCAGGACTTCATCATTGTATTTATCAGGAAGGTTTTTGTTTTTTTGCAGACATCTCCCTGCGAAAAATGCAGAGGAAGCTCAAAGGCATCGACAGGAATATGATGAGATGGTGGCAGAGGCAAAGAAAAGAGGTGCTTTTCTAATCAATTGTTACTGTGAACTTCTGAGTGTTATAACATTTTATTGCAAATAATTTCTTGTTTGTTTAGTACAGAAAGTGGCCACCCAAACCCTGGTATGTCAAAATGCTGTGCAACAGTTTTCTTATTTGGTGACTTAAGCCTTAAGATTCATAGTCACCAAATATTTACTCTTCAAATGACCACCTTGCAATTCAAATTATATAATCAATATTGGGGCATCTGTTTGTGAGGCACACAATAGCAGCAATCTGTCGATAGTAACCATGATAATCAATAGCACTGTAATGCTGCACCCAGAGCGCAAAAGATTTGAGATGCAAGAAATGTTTTTGATGCTCGCCATGGAGGAAATGCAATACAATTTACATAAGTCCTTACATATCGTTTGGAAGTCTTAAACGTGCTTGATCAATGCAGAGACTTAAGTTTCACAAAACACCATGTCAGGAAGAACTAACTGGCCAAGACAAAAATAAATAAAGCAATCCAGAAAGGGATCACTTTTAAACTGCATGTGAAATTTTACTAATTAAGAGAATTCTTGTCAGACAGTGTTATGTACTTCATTTTCTGAATAATTCGAGTACCATTTAGGAAACCAGTACGTGGCAACCTGGAGCAGGGGAATGTTGCTTTCATTCCCAATCTGAACCATATTAAGGAGGGAGAAGCCAGTTTGATGTTTTTTGATCTCCCTGGGATAACAACAGATTAAATGGGGATTTCCAGAACTTTACATATGCAAAGTCTGGGAACAGACTACTGACCTTGAAAAAAAGAGACACAAGATGAGGTAAACAATGCTATAGGGATATATTACATTCATGATTTGGTTCGCAGACTTGTAACTTTGGGAATTATTTTGGTAGAGATGAAAGAGGCACAGAGAAGGAAAAAAATTATGAAGGAACGATTTAAGCAAGAAGAAAATATTGCTCACGCTATGATTATTTGGAATGTGGATATTCTTCCGAACTGGGAAACCATGTAAGTAAAGATATTCCATCCATATGGATCACTGTTTGAAAAAAATCTAATAATAATAATCGTTGCAGTTGATATAGCGCTTTTCACATCTTCTAGACGTCTCAAAGCGCTTCACAGAATACACTGTAAAGTGAATTGACTGCATATTTTGTGGGTGAAATGCAGCAGCCAATTGCGCACAGCAGTGTCCCACAAACAGTCGTGGATTGAGTGACCAAATTATTTTTTTTCTTGAGCGACTATTATCAGGCGTGTGCAGTAAGGAAACTTGCCCAAGGTTTCACCCTGCCGGGAATCGAACCCAGGTCGCTCGCTTGCCAGGCGAGTGCTCTAACCACAGAGCTATAGGACTCCACATTGAAATCTACAACTTCATTGAGAGATTTGACAATTTCTATACTTGATACTTAATTTTTATTTTCTCAAATGTTCAGTCGAAATACACGGAAGGTGCGTGAACTCTGGTGGCAGGGCGTTCCTCCCAGTATTCGTGGGAAAGTATGGAGCTTAGCCATTGGCAATGAGCTGAACATTACTCATGGTATGAATATTGTACAATTCAGTTACTTGATTTAAGTTAACTTAAAGGAGACTTGTATTTTTTTAAAAAAGCGTCACCTAGAATGGTTAATAAATAAACTATAGATGAGGTGAGATAAGGTATGTGACTAGATGGTAGTTAAAGATCAAGATTGTTGGAAGTGAAGTTTCTTTTTAAATTATTTCATTGTTGCTGTTTTTTCATTCACAGAGCTTTATGAAATCTTTCTGTCGAGAGCTAAAGAGCGGTGGAAAAGCTTCCGTGAGACTGGATCGGAGAATGAAACTGAAGGTAGGCCTTCCCTTGAAGCACCTCACACAGGCATAACAAATCAAGCTTTTATTTCATTCGTTCAAGTCGTCCAGATATATTAATTTCATGCCTGAGCAGTCTCCTTTAATCTGTTGATTCAAGTAGCATTTTTGCATTAATGATTAATTGATGCATCACAAACACTCCAACTAAGGTCAGATGTAAGTTGTCTCCATGGACTCTGTTGTCAACCAGTGAGACAGCATTGATTTTAATCTTGTTCCAATCTTTCTGGATCAGCGAATAGTGACATTTCTGTTGTTTGCACTCGTGACCAATTTATTTAATTTTCCTCTCCTTTATTAGGTCTTTGATTTTTAAAAACTTAAGGGATATGGGGATAAGGCGGGTAAATGGAATTAGGTTAGAAGATCAGCCATGATCTTATTAAATGGCGGGGCAGGCTTGATGAGCCGAATGTCCTGCTCCTATTTCTTATGTTCTTGTTTGTTTCCATTTGTTGCAATCATTCTTTGTTTAACGGTAATCTAATCCCACTCATGTGTTTCATTACAAAATTCTCATCTTTAACGCTAAAGCCTCCTATCTTCAGCTACTTTCACTGTCTACACCTGAGTAACACTAGAAAAGTGTGAGGTTTTATTTTTTTCCAACTATTGCTTTTTTCAAATGACCTTTCTATCAATAAAAGCCGCAGTGGCCAGACACGCCCTCCTGTTTCTTGTAATACAATCACTTCCTGGTTAGAAATGCTGCCCTTAACCTTTGCGTTTTGTCCACAAAATACAGTCAAACCATCTTACAGTATATCCTATGAAGCACTTTAAGACATCTCAACAACCTATAAAGCGCTATATCAAATGCAAGGATTATTATTAACCAATTTAGCATTCAGTTTAAACTACAATCATTTTAAACAATATGAAATCACAGCAGTGTGAATGCTTGTTTCTTTACTTAAATTGATGATTTATGCTTCCAAGGATGACTTTTGGAATCAGACCATGATTCAAACATAAATTCCCTTGGTTTTCCTTGATTTAACTTGAGGTATTTGGTTAATGATTTTTTGTTTTTTTTAAAAAATTGAGCCTTTTGCTAGAGGTTTCTTATTGACTATTGCTAACAGTTTTCGTTTCTAAGAATTGATTTTGGCATTTTGATGTTGGCAATCAAATCCACTAATTGTACTATCGAACTGCTAAATATTTTCTTAAAATAAGAAATTGAGCACTACTTCTGTACCCACCTCCATGTCACTGCTTTCTGCATTGTTAGGTTGAATGCACTGCGCTATTACATTACCTTTGCTGACACTAGTTGTTTACTATTTTGGTAAATGCTTTACTCTAGTTCAAATAAATACGCTGCCCGACGCTGAAAAGTTGCTTTTAATATGTTTTTAAATGTTTTGCCAACTCAGATTTTTCACTTTTCAAAACCAATTTAAAATACTTGTTCCCTACATCAATGCACAATAGAGGAGCTTTGTTCTCAACTTTCCACCTCCTTAAATTCTATTTCAGCAACCTCAACATCCATGAGTAATGTAGAACCATATTCACTGCAAATACATTTTAAACCTTCAAAAATAGATTAAATCAAACCAGACTAAATTAATTCTTAATCATGTCAGTCCATGCAATATTATCCAAAAATATCCTCAACTGTTTTATTTTGCTCTCTAATGTTTTGCCTCACTCTCCAAGATAATTAACTTTTGCTCTTTTACAGTCTAAAAGCAATTAAAGGTATCTTTGGAATCTAAATGATGAGATGCCCTTGTTCTAAATGTTTTGGGATGTCCTTTTTTGAATCTTAAATGTTTACAGGAAAAACAGGTGGGATTTAACTGGAAATTTAAATGTGGTCTTTCTAAAATATACTGATAGAAGAATCACACTGAGGATTCTTGCCTCCCCCCTTACACACACATACAGCACACACACAATTCAAGATCCAGTTGCATTCTTTACTGGGCAGGTATTACTTCATGTAAAAGGTGCTTTGCGTGGAATTTATTTTTTATGAGTTGGTTTCTTGATATTTACAATGTCTCCTCGATACAATGCTGAAAGTTCTAGAAATATATTCTTTGTAATACAATTAATGTTGAGTCGAGGAGAAAATTTAGTTTAGAGAAATTATGTGCACAAGTTGTTGAAACATTTTTGTCTTCATTTCTCTGGAATAGTATAATCACACAGATTACTATACATAAAAAATAAATGCAGAAATCCATAGCAAGTCAATCAGCATCTGAAATGGAGATAGGCTATCATTTGAATATGACTTTCATCAGAACATTCTATTGTTTCAGCACAATCTGCATTCTGTTCCATGTCTCACTTAGTGTAATGACTTATGCTCATTGACTTTTTAGATTCTGGAGCATCAGGGGCTGACCGAGAGGCCAGTCTTGAATTAATAAAGCTGGATATCTCCCGTACATTCCCATCTCTCTTCATCTTCCAAAAGGTTTGTAATTTTTTGTTTCTGTATTTATGGCTTAGTCCTACCATCAAATTATTGAAGGTCCTAGATTGTGAAATGTGAATTAACTTTAATCTTGTGTTTCAAACCTTGGGGCCCTCATTATTTGGATTGGTCCTTTAATTGGTTTCAAAAAAATTTAAAAAAGAAAAATGACCTTCGAAACAAAGTGGGTGTAACAAATGGGCAAATGCCTTTGCAACCTTTTCTATTTAGCCAATTTAACTGCTTTAATTTGGCTTTGTGTTTGTAGAGGTTAAAATTGTTTGTGCAACTGTTTTCACAAATATAACAAAATTATGTTTGTTTAAATTATGTTTGCTTAAAGGGTGGACCATATCATGATCTATTGCATAATGTGCTTGGGGCATACACGTGCTACAGGCCTGATGTTGGATATGTAGGTATTTGTAATTTTTATTTTGCATTGTTTCTTGTGTACCTGTCTGATTCACTGAACTATATCACAATTGCTATTTGAATTAGGAATTTTCACCAGTTGACCAACTGTTACATTTGTATTTAGAATTCCTAACGTGTATGAACATGAGACATGTATAGCAAATTTTATAACATTGAAATAAACTTCCACTTTTTACATTTCTGTAGTCTGTGGCTTTTAGAAAACTTTGATGTGCCAATCTACTGATTGTTTGAACAATATAGAAACATCATTTTATCTTCTGGTTCTGGTTTCAGTTATTGCTTAACTAGGTTAATCTGCTAGTAAAACCAAACCTGAGAATGAATCTAGATTTAACCTTCAAGCTAAGTCATTTGATTCCAGTTAAAAGTATTTGTTAGAAATTTCTCAATTTGTCAGTCGAACTCCAGATTCTAAGCTTAAATTTTAGAGAGCAAGTCTGTTTTGTTAGATTAAATGCTTGAATATTTTAGTATCTTCAAGTTTTTTAATATCTGTAGTTAACAAATAAAGTCCTCTACATTTGGTATCAGCTTGCATCTATTGCAAAGTTTTTTTTATATCAGGTACATAACAGAAATTGAGAGCACCAATACGAATCAGCAAATATTTTTTGCTGTCTGAACAAGATAAGATGGATTGCCCTTCAAAATTGAGTGTGGACTGTCCCTTTTTCTCTTTCTTTCTGGGTGATGCACAATTCAGGCAGCTGCTTCTTAGCATATTGATCCTCTTGTTAGGCCAACCGCATGGTGTTATGCAATATGCCGTGGGATGGCTGGTCATCTTTTTATGAAATAGTAATATTTTAGAACTGTATTGGAAGAGGCAGAATTATATTTTTACCATAAATCTATTGTGAAAAATTTCATTTGTAAACACTTAAATTGACTAGTTCATTGAGTTTTAAAATGCCAATTAATTCCATTATTTGCTATAGGTTCAAGGAATGTCTTTTGTTGCTGCTGTGCTGATTCTTAACTTGGAGGAAGCAGATGCTTTCATAGCATTTGCCAACCTGTTGAACAAATCCTGTCAGTTGGCTTTTTTTCGTGTAGATCACAGCATGGTAAGATACTGCAAGGCAGTGATATCTCCGAAAGAATTGCACAGCCAAATAGTCTACATCTATATTGGTTCTGGATTTGACCTTCATTATAGATCATTATTAAACATAAATGGAACAATTAAAATCTGAACTATGGTTTTCTTTCTCTTTCCCACTCTGCCCTCTCTCTGTGTTCATCCCTTTTTAAACTTGTAGCATTCCACTCTTCTGAAGGCAGTGAATTATGTTGGGATACAATATCACAGTCCCTCCAGTACCTCGAGTGGGGTTATCTTGTAGGTGAGCTTTAATGGGGAAAGGCATCATTGGACTATTTGTTGGTGGTGGGAGGGGATCGAAACTTCTCCATTTTGTCCTCATTCAACATCATGGGTTTTCAAGTAGGGAAGTGGGCTGACTCATGGTGATGGGGAGTGGGAGCCAGGCTGTGCTTCCTTTGGTTGGTCATCCTTCCAACTAACAATAACCAATGCTCCCTTCTCGCTCCCTTCCCCCCACCCTGGCATGGTCTAGTCTAGATGTTACAGTGTTATGTAAATAATTATATTGCTGGGATTGACCTAGTTAATTCTGTAACTTTTTTGAAAATAAATTGATTTAAATATCCAATATAGTTCAGGATTTTAAATTGATTTGTTTAATAATTGAAATATTAAGAAGTATTGAATAAATATCTGTTTTTTCAGATGCTGAAATACTTTGCATCATTTGAAGTGTTCTTTGAAGAAAATCTTCCAAACCTTTTTGCACACTTAAAGACAAATAACTTGACTCCAGACATTTATCTTATAGACTGGTAAGCGCAGTTATGAGTTTGGACTTGTTGAATTTTTATTAAGAATGTGAGGCTAGGATCAATATATAATTTTCCTTTCATATCAAATTAATGTTATGTTTTCAGAAACTTTACTGAAGCTTACTACTGCTGGTTTGTGTCCCATTTCTTACACAATAGTACGTTGGTAATATAAAAGAGACTGTTTCTTGCATCTTTAAATTTTCACATGGATACAATTTACAGTAGAGTAACCCAACTTGTGATTTACTTGTTTCTGTACTTTTAATGTGTTCTTCTTGAATTACAGGATATTTACACTTTACAGTAAGTCATTGCCTCTGGATCTGGCTTGCAGAGTCTGGGATGTTTTCTGCCGTGATGGAGAGGAGTTTCTTTTTCGGACAGCATTGGGAATCCTCAAGTTGTATGAGGGCATTTTAGTTCAAATGGACTTTATTCATATAGCTCAGTTTCTTACCAAACTACCTGAAGACATCACGTCAGAGAAACTTTTTGCTTGCATCACTACTGTTCAGATGCAGAGTAGTAACAAACGGTGGACACAGGTTAGTTATTAACCAAATTTGGAGATCTCATTGTGGTTGGTCCTTCTCGTTACTTATAAAATCCAGGAGGGTAGCTAGTTCCTCAGATAAAGTCTGTTCTGAAATGCCTTTGCTATCAACACCTATAGTTTTCTGGATCCTCTGAAGTGGGTGTTTATTCTTTTGTTTGATCCTAATCTAACCAACTAACATTTGGTACCTGACCTTAGATATTGAATTACTTTTCAGCAGTGTTGTGTTAACCACAGAGATTTAGTATACAATTTCTTCTTCACTAGGTAAAGGGTTGGGGCCAATAGCTTCTCAGCAAACATGTCTGAGAATTCTGTAGTTTGAAACTGACCTTTAATCTTTTACTAATGTTGAGCTTATTATGGTGGGATTATTGCTAACCTTGAATAATGGTAGTTCAAAATGTTTCTGTGCTCTATTGAATCATATCTTTCATCAAATCAGTGTTGTCAGCCTCGTATGCTTGCTTGAATGTATACAGTGGCGTGATAATCTTGTGTTTAAAATTTTTTAAATATTAATACAACCTACAATTTGAATGAGTATTTGATAGAATCCAATAAATGTATTCTTGATTAGAGATCCTAAGTGCATTATATATAAAGTCAATTTTTTTCTGTAAGACAAACAACTCTCTACCACTTGTGAACAAAACTGTTCACATGTATGAAAGCTTTCAAACTGTTGCAATTCAGATGTTGAGTCCTGGTAGAAATATTTTCTTGAAAGCCCAACTGGTTACCCAACTGAATTCCAGAGAAGAATTACAATTTCTAGTGGAACAAATAATTCATACAAGTAAAAATGTGTTTAATGACTGGCTTAGTATTCTATTGTTTAAGATTCAATATGTATATTAGGTCAGTTGTACAAACCTTATTCTTTCCTTTCATAATTAACAGGTATTTGCTTCACTGATGAAGGATGGCAAAGAAGTTGAGAAAAATCACAGCCCAGCACTGAAAAGTTAATAAACTTTAAAAGATGCGTTCATAATGGTCTGAAAGATGGAGTTTATTATGACTAATGGTGGAGCAATACAGTATGGAGATTTCTGTAGATCATCTATATGAAATTGATGTCTGTCAGAGTAAATGAACTGTTGGACTGCGAGTGAGCAAAAGACCTGTGCTTGTTATCCCAATTGAATGGGAAAAGATTTGAGGTATAGCTGGTCCTTTATGGCATGAGTCCAATAGAATGAAGAAATGTTTACACTAGTGTCAGTATTAAAGGAAAAGATGAGTCCTGTACAAAGTACAGTAGCATACAGTAGCTTCTTCTGCATTTATTAACTGATTGAAACCTGAGATGTAAAATGTTAAGCACTTGAACAGACCAACTACCATTCTGTACCATATTTCTGGTGCGCAGAATACCTCCAAAGCCAGTTAACTCTCAGAAACTACCTAACGTGGACCAAATGGATCTTGAGTTACTTTCCTCCAATAATACATGTAGCTTTTTAGTGACGTGTTTATTCTGTTTGAGGAAATGTCTGTTTTTCACTTTTTGATGAGGTCATTTTGATTTCTACAAGTAAACTGAAACCATTTAAAATTCTGAAATTAAAAGGCCAAGGCTGAGAGAGTTTCTATTTTCAAAACCCAAACTTTACTGCTATACGCAACTAGAGTTCTTTTTTTTAACAATCTATATATGTTGGGTTCTAAAATATTCCACAACATCCTCTTAATACTATAAGCATTTCCAATCCTTGGGTCTGTGGCTTGCAAACCTGAGAATGACTTTTTTTATTACTGAACTGTGGTATTTTTACTACTAGTATTTTTAATGAGTTCTTTTGGGGGTTTCAATAATTAGCTGCTTTTCCGGTGCTTTCTAGAAGGAATACGGTGTTCTACCATTTACAGGCCAGGGATGAACTGCAAGTGAAATGGCAGAACTATGAAATAGAAACTTCCAAATGTTTTTTCTACTCCAGGTAAAAGGCAATGCCTCTCAGCTGATGAAGCCTTTGCCGTGATTGTCCTCAGACTGGTGCTGTGGACATTACTTTAGTAACTGTATTTAGTATGTTTTATGATGTGCAATACGGAAACTCCAAAATGGCACAGTGCTTTGCACAAGTCTTGGAATGTAACCATGGCAACATTCAGTAACCTTTTATTTAAAATCAGGTGATGAAGATTGATGAGAGCGACAAGCTATAGTGATGTATTAAAGTAATATATTGCTAAGAATACATTGCCTGCTTACATTAGAAAGGTAAAATAGGGTCATTGGTAATCACAAAAGGGCAGAGAGGTAATTATCAGGCTTTTTCATAAATTGAGTTGTAATTTCTACAGTGAGTTTGACAGATTTGTGCAAATTTGAAATTTGTCTTGTGTGCAAATTGCAAGGTATACTATTAATTTTCCTTTGGTTTCTTTTTTATTTGAAAAGATTTGTACTTTATTTTCTTGTATATTTTTGTGTATTAGATAGCAAAACAATTTCTGTATTTCTTGTATTGCAAATTATTTTATTGGAATATAAAAATATGAATTATATAGGAATTATTTTGTAGAATGTTCTGAATTTCAGTACATCTGTATTAAAGGAATTTTCATGTTACATAAACAGTAGTGTACTACAATTTGAGTGCAAAATACTTGTTTGAATTGAAATGTTTATTTATGTATTTCTTAATTTAGTTAAAATGAAATTCATCTATGTTCTTGCTTTCTATTGTACAGATTTCTTACTCACTGCAGATGTACATAAAAAATGATTGTAAATAGAAGGGAAATTGCCCACATCTAATACCACTACATACCACTTTCATTTGTAAATAAAGAATGAAGCTGAGTGCCTTCAAATGTGTGCTTTTTTGTATTGCACGACTCAATAGACGTTGAAAGATGCAAGTCTTTGGTATTGCCCTAGAAGTGGGGCTTGTCTTGAGAGGGCATCACATTGTTGGGTGTTTAAAACTTTTCTTTGGTTTTGTGTTATAATTTACAGTAAAGTCTAAATTGAATATTAGTTGCTGAGATGAACCATCTCATCAACTAACTAATTATTAACGCCTAATAATAATCCCTCCAAAAACCCAAAACAATAATAAATTGGTCATTTTCAATCTACGACTGTTTGTGGGACATTGCTGTGTGCAATTGGCTGCCGCGTTCGCCCACAAATATACAGTCAATTCACTTTACAGTATATTCTGTGAAGCGCTTTGGGACGTCCTCCCGACGTGAAAAGCGCTATATCAAATGCAAGGATTATTATTATTATTATTATCAGAAATTCTTGATATCTATTGAATCTGCTTTTACCATAAACTAGGTCTCCTTGGGTTTTGAAACACTTTTCGATAAAGAGGGAGGTAAATGACCTAAGTTCATGGTAATGATGCTCTTAAGCTGGCAACCAGCAGATGCACACAAGGCAATAAAACTAAGTAGATGGGTGGTATGAGATGTACTAAAATTGTGCCCTGCCCAATCGCCTAACCAAGAACACAAATAAATAGCCCATTAGACTACCCAGTAAATTTTAAGTGTAATGTTTAAATGTTCTGTCCAGCATCTAGGAATGTCCTCGCAACATGAAAGATTAAATATAAGGTTGTTTGTAAAAGTTGGCTTTACCTTGGTTGAAGTCAAATTGAAGTTTTTAGACTGATGGAACTAAACAGCTGACTGAGCTAGCAGGCAGAATGATCGAGACCATGTTGTTGAACTCATTTAAGAAACCACTTGATCCAGTAATTCTGTATTCTGGAAGGATGAGATCAAATGGTTCAAGGGGCCTTGTTTGTCAGCTCCCATCTTGGGTTACCCTATTGCTGCCAATTTGATTCTGGAACTATTTAACTATTTCCTCGTAGGGTTTCAATTCCAGATAGAATTGATGGCAGACTGACTGATGTTAGTTATTCAATATTTTTGACTTGGTACCACATGGGAACTGTGGCGGGACTGTAGCTTCGACTAAAGCATCCAAATGTGGAGTCCTGCAGCTCAGTGGTTAGAGCACTCGTCTTGCAAGCGAGAGATCTAGGTTCAAGTCCCGGCAGGGCGAAATGTTGGGCAAGTTTCCTTACAGGGGGTGGGGGGCAGGGAAAGCATTTAAATTTACAACCCCATAGATATTTTTTTTTTGGGGGGTGGGGGAGGGCACAGCCCCGTGTCTGACACATGCAGAAACGCATTACTCTTTTAACAGTAACCAAACCAGACACCTCCACGTGACCGTATCCCCGACGTGGGGAGTTGCTGTCCTCTGGCGAAGAGCCTCCAGTAGCTGTGGTCCTCCAGCCGGCGGGGGGCGCTGCAGGGGATTGGCGGCCGCAGACAGGGCGCATCTCCACGGACCCGGTAACACGTGCAGCGAGTCTCAGTTTGAAAGCCGCGTTACCGGCAGCGCGAGGAGGAGGAGAGGGGGACCCGAACCTGGACCAACCGCCCCTACATTTGCTCGCAAACGAACCAACCCCGGGCCCGAGCGCCGGGAGAGCGAGGACAGTATGGGGCCGGTGAGTGAGGGAGTGAGGGAGGGTCGGGGTCGGGACACTTCACTCCCAGCTTCGAGCTGCTCTGAGCGGCGGAGGTGCTCTGAGCGGCGGAGGCATCGACGGGGGCTCCGAGGCCTACAGTGGTTCTGGAGCCTGGGCGGGGCAGCGGGGCTCCGGGGGTTTGCAGGGGCTGAGACCCCGGGCGGGGGCGGGGCGGGGGGTCAATCACAGTCCCCCCCGCCCCCCCCCCCATATGGACACCGTGTGTTGCACCAGTTACAGTATAATTTTATACGCTTATCAGCCTTTGCAATGGGGGGAGTCCGCGCTGTAGCATTTCACGATGTGACGGCGGGTGATGCAGATTCACTTGTTTGGCTGTTTGTGGGATATTCAGCCACAACGTTACACAGTCGCTGGACCTCACGCTGTATTCTGTGAGGCGCTTTGGGACAACTTTTCTGACGTGAAAGGGGCTATAACACACATTGCTAACATTATTATTATTGTTGTTGTTGTTGTGATTGTTATTAGCAGTGCTCCAGTTCTTGCTGTTGATTAGGTCTCAGCTCAGCTCAGTTGGTAGAAATATCACCTTTGAATCGGAGGTTGTGGGCTTTTGGAAGTCAGATTTCTGGGCCTACTCTCCAATGCTGTCCTCGGGGGAATGAGAATGAGACGTTAAGCTGAAGTTCTGTGGGTCTGTTCAGGTGGACATTAAAGATCTCATGTCACCCTCAGGGCAGCATCTCTGACAATGTAATACAATGCAGGCACCTGCTGTGGTAATAATCCAGTTGATTTAATATATTGTTTAATGGAACGCGCCGTGAGCGTGCAGTTTGTTCCTTTTTGGATAAGAAAGGTGGTTTAGGCCAACCCAATGGACTCCTCATGTTTTTTTAAAAAACAAAGCTTGATACTGCAGTGGGAAGACTGTAGATTGGGTAATTCCCGGCAGGTCAGGGCGAAACCTTGGGCAAGTTTCCGTACTCCACACAGAGCCTAATAATAAACCCTCCAAAAAACAAAACAATAATAAATTGGTCATTTTCAATCCACGACTGTTTGTGGGACATTGCGCAATTGGCTGCCGCGTTCGCCCACAAATATACAGTCAATTCACTTTACAGTATATTCTGTGAAGCGCTTTGGGACGTCTAGAAGACGTGAAAAGCGCTATATCAAATGCAAGGTTTATTATAATGTGAACGGAGAAGATTAGATGGGCCTTCATCATCTGATTTTGAATTTCATATTAATCGCATTCAGTTTTTTAGCCCAACAATTTCATGTCCTCTATTTCAGAGAAAAAATACAAAACGTGTTCCAAGTTTTCACAAACTGTTGAAAACCAGCAATATAAAGCTTGCAAATAAATTAAAGAATAGACAGTATAAGCAGCAAAGTGTTGCCAGGAAGTTCAAGAAAGAACAGAAACAACTTCGACAAGCAGTCCGAGATGTTTCAGCTAAAGTACCGACTCCAATGGATCAACCCAAAAGGAAAAGGCCAGGCAAGTAAAGTGCTGTAGTTCTGTGTGGCGTGTTGCCTTAAGGCAATATATAGTAGGTCATTTTACAATTGGTCAGTTATAAAGCCTATATTGTGGATTAAACTGTTTTGTAGTTCTAGGACTTTGTATATTTCTTTGCAGAAGGTGTTTCAAAGTGTATACTTCTAACCATAGTGTAGAAATCAACTATTCCAACTTGTCTTAGCCAGAGATCTGAGCGAGACGTGAAAATTGTAAATCATTCTTTTCCAAACTAAGGATCTCTTCTGACAGAAGAGCATATTGAGATATAGTTGTGGGAAAATTGCATGGCCTGTGTTTGTGACTCCTGGCTTGCTGACTTTTCCAACGTAGTCCTCAATCACATTACTTAAAGCAGAATTTCTCAAACCATGAAAAGAAGCCAATCTAACTGTTGGCCTTTATATTTGGAAACTAAAAATGTTCTTGTGTAAGAGATTCCTACCAACATTACTTTATGATCTTTATTTGAGAACTATATCTAAATATAAATTAAATTGGAGGATTATTTCAGATTTAAGTATAGTTCAAACATCAGCAGCATTTTAACACTCTTGAAACCCCAAAATGACATTGTTTGCGATGAGAGGTGACTTTGATGAGATATTTTTGTCAAAACTTTTGCTGCTCATCAATCCATTCATGATGTACCTGACATATTTCACAGGTCTTCATAACGAAACCATTATCTATGTAATGGGCATAAACTCTGAAACTGAGAAGTAAATTGTCATCTTTGCTAAATAACTTTAAATTTAAAAAATTTGGAATTAGATGAGAATATAGATGGAACTGAGATGCAATGAAGAATGATGTTGCTGATTCATTTAAAAGAATGACAGATTGCTCCTTACAATTTCTACAAAGTATTAACCAAGTGTTTTTCCCCAAATTCTTAATAGAAGAAGAAGAAATTGAAGATGACGCTCTTCCATTAGATATGCTAGAGGAAGATGATTTAGACTATATGCAAAGCATTGGTCAAAAAGCATATTTTCTTACCAGGGATCTATCTTCCAGGTATTGCACAGTTTTGATCTTTAGTGTAATTTTTTCACCAACAGCTTTGCTTTTATATTGCAGAATACAAATTAAAACTATAATAATGTCACTAATGCTGTAGTTGAAGTGTAATGAACTTTTTCAGATTTCAGTACAAGCAGACTATTAGTTTTACTTTAGTTTTTACAAAATGTGTAATTTGTTGTTCCTAACTATTTCTCTTCCCAGTATGTAGGGATTGATTAAGACTTGTACAGCATCTGTTCTGGTCAGTTTATTTATAATGTATAAATCCTGCCTCAAGACCCTCCTCTTCGACCATGCCATTGGCCACCTCCCTTCCTTTCCCCTCCCTTCCCCCCGACCCCAGATCAGGTCTGAAATTCCGTACACTGTCCAGCGCCTCAGGATGTCCTCCCGACATGAAAGGCGCTATACAAATGTAATCTTGTTGTTTAACTTGAGAGTTCACAGCACATTCTGTTTTGTTTTCGTAGCAAAGCTCCTGCAGTACATAGGGTTTATATTTCTATACTGAATCAAATATACAAAAATAGGAACGCAGTTGTTAGTTGACTGGCGGATCGCTTTTCCGGAGGTAATAATTCCTTCTTAAAAAAAATATTAATTGGTCACTTCAATTCACGACTTTTTGTGGGACATTGCTATACACAATTGGCTGCCACATTTCAGCCACAAAACATACATTCAATTTACTTTACAGTATATTCTGTGAAGCGCTTTGAGATGTCTCGAAGATGTGATAAGGCGCTATATCATAATGAAAGGATTATTATTAAATGTTTGTTAGGTAAATATTTGTACTTGGCTGCATTTCTTATATGTTTGAAAGATTTTAATTCCTTTATTGCTGCTACAGTTGGTTAAAGGATAATTGCAATACATTAGCCTTAATTATTTGTAAATCAAAAACATTGTTTTGTTCTCTTTATCATGCTTAGCATGTCTGTATATTTACTTACGTTCAATATATAATCAGTTTGAATATACTGTGCAATTGTATTGTCCCTTTATCATTATTAACCAACATCAAATGCTGATTTGTTTTCTTATCCTAAATGTTGATATATGCTTAATCTGATGAATTGCTTTGTTGATCTACAGTGAACCAATCCATGCTAAAAAACAAAAGAAGAAAAATTTAGTGGCATCATATGAAAAGGTGCCCAGGAAATTACAAGCTGAACCTGAGAAAGAGCTCATTCATTTGCTGCCTATCAAAGACAAGCGTGGTCTCATTCCACAGTCTATAGAGAAGTCAAGTAAGAAAAAAAATACTTATTTCTTGCGCAAACTTAATGTTATTTGCTCACTAGGTGGTGATAAATATTTAGATTTTTGCATTGGGTATAACCGGTTTAAACTTCTGTTCAGAAGTGTCCAATCTTAAAACTGAGACCATTTCTTCATATTTTGTATGTTACTGGAATAGATAATACAGTGGAGCCTCGTTATCATGTGGTAATTGAGATCCATAAAGATCTCAACCAGTGCTGTAACGGTACATTCATTGCTTCCACATATACCTTGCTTGTAGACAGAAAAAATAACACAATGTATGGTAAGCCAAAATTGCCAATTTCTGGGTCATTGGGTTGCTGCTGATGTCACTTATTGCCAGCTGTACATGTATAGTAAATGACATTAGTGGAGACCTGATGACCTGGAAGTTAGTCACTTTGGCTTTCCCTGCACTAACTGTTGTTATGGACTGCCAATGGAATAGTGGGCCTACATGTTTTGAAATTTTGGGGTAAATAAATGTTGTGGTCCATACCCCAACTCTTAAGTGAACTCTTGTTATAATAAAGGTCATTATAATGGGATACTATATTAGTAGTGTGATAAGGCACTATATCAAATACAAGGATTATTGTTATTATTAATATTATCATTCCTGTGTGTAAATTAGGACATTTGAAGTCTTCCTCCCTTGTGAACTTGCGTCATATGATCATATATTTCTTTGGAAACAATTTGATTCAATATTCTTTGTGTAATTAAATGTGCACATAGTTTTAAGTTTGTTTTTAACAGTAGCATGTTTATTCTAGTTATAAAAGAGGAGTCTGAAGAAGAAGAAATGTCAGAGGAAGATGAACAACATGGGGAAGGTATGGTAATGATTCTGGAAGTGGAGGCAAGAAATGTTTTAACTACCAATAACCATTATAAGGACAGTGCTGCCTGACAGCTGCTTTCAGCAGTCCGAGACATTATCCCACGTGAAAGGCACTATATAAATGCAAGTTGCAGTTGGAAGTTATCCTAAAGTTGGAAAACCAGTGCTGCAGCGAGGTATCCTTTGTGTAGCTTAAGCAAATCTGTGTTTTGTGACCACCTTGAAAGTGGGGCTGAAGTCTCCCTTTGCTACAAAAGTAAAGGTGAAAAGTGGGTAGTAAAGAATAAAGTAAATAATGAACAATCCAACTGAAAACAGTTTTAACAATAATTTTATGAAAAAATGTATACAGAATAAGAAGCTGAGATGGAGAATGGTTTTAAAAAAAACATATACGAAGACAAAATGAAAGGTGTTTTGTCAAAATATTACCTCCTGACATGTGACAATCCCCAAAGTCTCATTGAGCTCAGATTGTTTTTCCCCTCAAGAAGCCAAACCATCTATGGCTAGTTGCCAAAATAGGGAATGAAGTGTGTACTACTGAATTGTGCTAAATAAGCATTGTGATGAGCAACAAGTTATGTTCTTGTATTTCTGCTTTCTAATATGCTATAAAGGGAAATGCTTGGCCATGTGACTTATTTTTCTCTCCATCTAATTTTTCCTCTTAATTTAGTTGCTCCAAGTCTTCCAGTATTGACCACAGAGGAACTACAGTTACAGCGAAGAAAGACATTACATGAAAGAAAAACTCACATTGCCATGTTAGCATCGTCCATCTTATCTGAGCCAGATAAAAATGTATGTATAGGCAATCTAAAGATAATTTCAAATGGTTACATTCATAAAGGATGTAAGGGAAAGGAGAGAAATGATTCCAAGAGACTGCATAGTGTGCAATTGGCTGCTGCGTTTCACCCATAAAATATTGTCAATTCACTTTACGGTACATTCTGTGAAGCATTTTGAGATGTCTCGAAGACGTTCATTTTCAACTTAGAGCATTTAAGTGTTTTGAAATGATATTTTAATGCTTAAGGTACTTGGTACAAATAAGGGGTGATTGCAAGACTGATAATTACATAGAATAAAGTTACTGAATATGAATAGTAAAATAAATAATTTTTGGAATAACTATATATACTGTAGCAGTGCTATTATAGGCAAATAAAGTTTTATTGCCATTTGGTTATGTTATGTCAACAGATCAAAAGGTTAAAAGAACTACGTGCTATGTTAATGGAAACGGATCCAAATGTTGCAGTAACTGTGCGGAAATTAGTGATGATATCTTTGATGGAACTTTTCAAGGACATCACACCTTCCTACAGGATACGGCCTCTCACTGAATCTGAGGAAACTGCAAAGGTACAGAATAAATTAGCAAATGCTGTGACAATGGTACTGGGGACTGTTCTTAAATTTGTGTAAGTATGTTTTTTTTGCTAGTTGTAAAAATATCTTGTTCTATCTATATTTATGGATTCTTAGTATGAATGTACAGAAAAACCATGTGGAATTTAGATTAGAATAATTTGCTTTTGTTGCCATCTAGTGGTGTATCCGGTTCAGAACTCTGTACTGATTTTACAGTTGTAAGAATTGCTAATATTTCTATATTCATTTGTATATATAGGATGTTATTTTAGTTTGAGACCAAAAATAATTGAGAGAAAATGATATCAATTAAGATTAGTTATTTATGTTGCAAGCAATTAATACAATTGCCTGCAGCCCAGACAAACTGATTGTGACTAAAAAAAGTGATCTTGTATATAGTTTTAATCAAAACATTTTAACAAATGTTTTTAATTTCAGGTGAAGAAAGAAACACGACACTTGCGAGAATTTGAAGAAGGATTAGTGAGTCAGTACAAGTATTATTTGGAAAATCTTGAACAGACTATCAAAGGTACTTGAAAACTTTCTAAATCATTTCAGATTTCATTATTGAAGTTCTGGTGAACATTGTAATAATTATGCAGAATTTCCTACTTCCTACTTTTACAAAAAATAAAGGAGGCATTTCAAATTGAATGATATTGCAGCCTACAAATGGTCAATGATTTAGAAATGATTCTGGGATACGTTAGTATTGATCCATTTTCAAAGGTGATTTGTTTTTAACTCTTTAGAAGGAAAATTAGCAATGTCAATGAAGCCTGATGATTGGGGATTAGTTAGCATAGTGATTTGCACCCTTTCCAGTTTATCTTTGAATCTAGTACAGAAAGTGGATTAAAAGTAAAGGTCTTCTTGTAGACTTGAGGTGGTCAACATGAAAGATCAATCTTAGTCTTAGGTTACAGGACCACTGCCCGCAACTGTGCACAAATCAAAAACTGTCACAGAGAGAGTCCAATACAGTATATTGTTTAGGAAATGAAAAAAGTCAAACTGGTATAGTAGGATTTTATAATTGACATTGGGATTTTTTTAATACACAAATGTGTATTTCAACGTAAATAAATAAAAAACCTGTTAATTGCCATTTAGTCTTTGTTTCAACATTCCGTTCTATAGTGTGAATGAGTTGCACGCAAATGAATTGGTTGTGTTTATCAATATTGAATTCCTTTTAATTGACATTATCTCTCTCCTTTGTCACCTCTCGGCTGGACTATTTAATTGCCCTCCTCGCCGGTCTCCTCTCGACTACCATTCATAAAATCCAGGTCATACAAAACTCTGCCACCCGCATTCTTACCCGCGCCAAACTGCTCCCCGATTACCCCAATCTTTGCCAGACTGCACTGGCTGCCTGTCCCAGAGAGGATCGACTGAAGACTCTTGTCTTCAAATCCCTCCATTCCTCTGCGCCCCGGACCTCTTTGATCTCTGGCGTCCCCCGAGTCCTCTGCTCCACCATCAGCCACCATGCCTTCAGCCACTATGCCCCGAGGCTCTGGAACTCCCTTCCTCACTCCCTTTGCCTCACCCCCTCTCTTCCCACTTTCAGGTCTCGGCTGAAGACCTTTCTTTTCGTCCGCGCCTTTGGTCACCTTCCTCCCCCTCCCCCTGGCTCGGCCCTGGGATCCGTTACTTTGAAGCTCTCTGAGACGCCGTGCAACGTGGAGGGCGCTATATAAATCGAAGTTGTTGTTGTATTAATTCAGTAAGAAAAGACTTCTGCATCACCAAAGATGGATGAATTAAATGGTCAGTTGCTGCTGTTAAAGATGCTGTTTTAAATTATCTAGCAACACTTCATAGAACAGTATATGAGGAGAAGGCTGTTGCCGTGGAACTTAGAACAGTTGAATAATGAGCCTAGTCTGATGGAGGAAGCATAATTACATTTTTGTTATTTACTGTCTGATCTACTTTAAACATACATTATTTTTATCCAGACTGGAAACAAATGAAGCTAAAGAAGAGTGATGTTGTTTCTTTAAAAGCCTACAAAGGACTGGCAGAGGTGGCAATAAAATGCTTGTGTGAATTGCTGGTGGCTTTACCACATTTTAATTTCCATAACAACATTACTGTGATGATTGTTCCGCTCATGAATGATGCATCAAAACAGGTACATTTCTTTACTTTAGATGACTCCTGTGGGATTTTAATCCATATTTTAGAGTAGTCATTATATGAAAATAGACCTTTAAATATAAAAAATGTAGACTGATTGTACTAATTGTATGATAATATAAGTCTTCTGCAAAGTTGCTGTGTAAAAAGTTAAAACTTTTTAAAAAGCTAGTTCATACTATATATTATGAGCAAGAATCTGGAAGCGAGTTTAAGATAATTCAATTTTGGTATTCTGCCAATTCACAAACTGTTCATGGGTTTACTCTTGATTAGGCATCAGAGCTGTTCAATTGAATTACTGTTTAATTGAGAGCTCATTAATTAGTAACTTGGTACAGAAACCCCAAATTAAAGTACAGTGTATCTAGAGAGAATTTTTTATTTGGAAGGGATCATGTTAATCCATTTGAGAATTCTGAGTGCATGTTTGCTTATTTTGTTCTTTTCTGTTTTTCCATTTGAAACCTGTTTTTCTTTTGCTGGATACAATACTCTGTGCCCCTTTTAACCAATCTGAAATCCTTCTTCCGTGTAGTATTGGGGTGGTAGTGCACCACATCTAGTAGAAACACCAGGCCCCAAATATCTAGTAAAGTACAGTTGGTTCGTCGGTGACAGTGAATGCACAGATTCTGAAAGCAATTTTTCTTCATGCAGGTTGTGTTTGAACAATATCCAATGCATTTATTGTCTGTTTACAAAATGTATCCTGCCTCCTTATTGTCATTCTGATTGGAAAAGAGCTGACTATCCTGCCATCTGCTAATTTCCATCATTGATAATGCAGAGGCAATATAAACCACAGTCCATTTAGCATACCTGAACATCCATGTAAGCAGCCAGGATAACTTTCTGCTACAGAAAGGCAACCTCTATCATTATACATTGAGACAGGATGTATGTTGAATGAGTAGGTTGTTTGGATTTTGTATGCCTGTTATTTTTTTTCCTGTGATATTTAACAGTTTGTTTTCAGATTTCAGAAATGTGTTGCGAGGCAGTTAAAAAGCTCTTTAAGCAGGACAAAGTTGGCGAGTCTTCACTTACAATGGTCAAAGTCATTTCTGGCCTTGTTAAAAGCAGAAATTACGAAATCAAATCTGAGGTATGTTCTGTTCTTCCGGATTGCTATCTCATAACTACAAACTAATTTTGAAACCAAATTGAAAGTTTACCCTGCAAATATTTGCCATAGTTTACTTTCTCCCCTCTGCTGAAGTCACTTCCTCATGCTGGCTCATGTATGACTCCCAGCACCAAATAACCATTTGTATTTTTCTCTCCCCTCCCAACCCCCCTATTCACCACTAGAGAGCGCTGTGAGTAGTTTAAAAAATAGTTATATTAATTTATTTCTTTATTTAAACGTTGCAGGTGCTGAACACCTTTCTTTCCTTGCGAATTAAAGAAGTGGAGGTTAAGAAGGATTCGGAAGACATTGCCCCTAAAAAGAAATTCATGACATTCAAGGAAAAACGCCAAAGTCTCTCCAGGAAGCAGAGAAAGGTAATAAGCGTTGTCCAGTTCTTGTCACAGCTCCAGATAAATGCTGGATATGGACATATATTCGTTTGGAGCAAATTTCTTCAATCATTTTGTTTTAAATAATTTCTCATTTTTTAGTGGAAAAAAGCAGAGGAGAAACTAGAGAAAGAACTTCTAGAAACAGAAGCTTCAGAAAGTAAAGAAAAAAAACTAAAACTGGTATGTGGTTTCTGTGTTTCACTCCTTACTCTTGGCTAATTTGATAGGAGGGGCTGGTGGACCAATCTACTTTGGCTTGAAATTGTGGCTGTAACTTATACCACTGTTTTGTGAACTTGGAAAAGATTCCCTTCAAAATTCCTTGAGTACTGGTGTCATCGTGTCTTTATCTCAGGAGCTCAAGATTTACAATGCATGTAAAACTTACTGCAATTCAGAATGAACCAGCCAGATTGCTGATAACAGTGGTGTGAGGGTGCCAAGTTATTTCTAAAAGGGGAGAGCTGAGTTCATGAAATGTTCTAATACAAGCTTCTATGTCCTCCATTCTGTCCCAGTAATACTTTTTTATAATCATTCTATAGTAGAATGAAGCATTTTATTAACAGAGTTTCTCTTTTGTTTTACCAACAGCACACTGAAGTCCTAAACATTGTGTTTCTGACATACTTTAGAATCTTAAAGAAAGCCCAGAAATCAGTTCTTCTTCCTGCTGTCCTAGAGGGCCTTGCCAAGTAAGGAAGCTTCTTGAATTTTTATACATGGAAAAACATTACTCGTGCTCATTTAGAAGTAGAAAACCTCATCAACATGCACCTCGCTCCAACACAATTGGGTTGTGAGCCCTGACGTTTTCTTATACTGAAAATCTAAAACCTGTCATTGCAGAAAAATGGCCACCAGTTGGCTGCTAAATTCACTTCTTGTGTGGCACCCATACGGACTAGGCACTGAGAAGATGCACTAAAGTCACTTTGTGTGTGCTGTGCATGCATGCTATGCACAGGAATGCTAATAATTTCACTTTGTGTGTGTGTGTCACTGTACACAGGAAGTGCTGCTGATTGCAAATGATGTGAAATCAGGAACACTTCTGGCATAGCCCACATGAAGTGGCAACTGACCTTGGAAGTTGCCCATTGTATCATGCCTCTTTTTAACACAGAGCTGAGATTTTGTACCCGGGCGCTCTTGTTATAAAGGGGTTGATCTGTATACCTTTATCAACTGTAGTAGCCTCTTAACTGCAAACTGCCCATGTAAATATTGTCACAGGTTCGCTCACGTCATAAACATCGAGTTCTTTGATGATCTCTTGGAAGTGCTGCATTCTCTCATTGACTCTGGGGTGAGTAAAAGTGTCTTTTTTTTAAAAAATTAGAAACCGTTTATTTTGTGTACATTGGGTATTTGCCAGGTAAGCATTTTGTTCTTCAGAATCTGTTGCTCGATACATTAGGTGAACTTGTTCTTTATCGTTGCAGGATCTTAGCTACAGAGAGTGCCTTCACTGTGTTCAAACTGCCTTTTGTGTGCTTTCTGGTCAAGGTAGGTCCTTTTGTCAAACAAACTAGGTTTTCAAATATGTTCTTATAGATGTATAAGATGTGTGCTATTTTTGCACACTGTTATTGATGATTTTCCTGTAAAATTATATTCAAATGAACATTTTTTGAGGTACTTTCTGATTATGCTTAATTATACATTTCAATTTGCTTCAGGTGATGTGCTGAACATTGACCCTATGAAATTTTACAATCACCTTTACAAAATGTTGTTCAAGTTACATGCTGGTGAGTTGGATGTGATTTTTATGATTTTTCTTAATAATAAATGTTCAGTCAAATATTTAAGGGGACTGGGTTATTTTATGGATTTTGCTCTGCATCCAGAGCCATTGAGAGTTGCAACTTATATTATTGACCCATTGATTTACATTTACTCCCTTTACATTTGGTCACTATATCAAGCACTGAAGAAACAAGATATGTAAAACACCAGTGTAAAAATTTTGAATAGATGCATCCTAGAAACCCATTTGACAGAGGATCATGATTTTATTTTACAGGTCACACAAACAAAGATGTTTTGATTGTGCTACAGTGTTTGGATGCGATGCTAACAAAACGCAGAAAGCAAGTTTCTTTACAACGTGTCCTTGCTTTTTTTAAGCGCCTGAGTACACTTGCACTTCATGTTCTGCCTGATTCATCTATTGGTATACTGGCTTCCAACAGAATATTAATGAGCGTAAGTGCTATTAGAATAATTAGTTCACATTATCATGTTTTTAGAAGAATGCCCAGCAATGCTTATTGAAGAGTGACTATCAAGTAAATTTATAGGATTGTGGATACTTAAGTACTTTAAGACATTCTGTGTGAAAAGCACTAAATAAGCGCGAGTTGTTAGTCGGTTCAACAATATTGCCCCCCACTCCTCCCAATTCCGACACGTAGGTAGCTCAGATGTAAACCCTCGACTGTCCAACGCCTTGGGTGGTTGTCCTGACGTGAAATCCAATTATTTTCACTGGCAAAAAACCTGTAAAGTGATGGTCATTACAATGTTGATCTGAAATCTAAATGTTTGATCAAGCTTTTTTCCCCTCTAGACATTTCCTAAAATGGATATTTTACTAGACAATGAGTCTCAGGGAAGTGGACTTTATCTTCCAGAACTGGATGAGCCTGAATATTGCAATGCACAGAACACTGCTTTGTGGGAGTTGCATTATCTCAAGGTAAATTCCTTTTGTACTTTGGTCTCTTATTGAATATCTAGCACCACACAAATTAGTTAGGGAGCTGTATGTGAAAATGTTTGAATTCAAGTTAATCATTAAGAATCGTGTATTGGAGCACCTGAAAGCTTTTTGCAATAATTTAATAAGTGTTTTGAGTATTAATTATAAAAATACAATCATTTAGCAGTATAGTTGAGGCTTTTACTTGAATAAAACTACAGGATTATTTAAATCTCGCTTAGTTATTAATGTTTTAAAGTTGCATGAGTAAAATGATTATAATTGCATTGGAAATTCCTGTTGGAAACAGATCTCTGCAGGTTCAGTTATGTTGCAGCCATAGTAATTGACCAACTGAATTGTTCTGGCCAGACCTGCTGATAAGTAGAGATTGTCTATTTCAACTAAATTACCTCAACTCAGTTGTGTTTTTTTCCACTTCCTTGTTTGGTTGTAGAGGCATTATCACCCTGTGGTGCAACGCTTTGCAACGCATCTTAGTGTTGGTGCTCCATCAGAGGGTTCAGGAGCTCTGAGACCTGAACTCTGCAGAAAGTAAGAGATTTTAACCGCTTTATATAAACCCAAGAGTCACTCCATGTTAAAGTCATTCAGGTCTTTGTTAGACCAGTCTGGTTTGTTGACAAGTTCTAATTTATTGTCCATTCACAGAGCTGAATCTACATAGATACATACTTGTTTTGTTGAGGTCATCTCATTTACAAAGTAAAATGTTAAGACGGGGTTTTAAAGATGGTGGGAATAGTGGAGCAGGATTTGCCTCAGCTTTTGGCTTTGGAAACGAATGTTTTTGTGGTTCAAATTAGTTAATTCCAAATTAGCCTTCAATTTAAACTGTTGCTTCCAGTTAAGTAGCTTCATGAAGATGCTAGGCCATTGTTTGAAGTGTAATAAGTCAATTTATTTAGATTATTGGATAAAAATTAAATAATAAAATTAAGCTGCCACAAGATTGTTCTGGAAACTGAAGAGATTTGTATGTTTGTGCCAGGCACGCTACAGAACTATTCGAGGAGTACAGTATGAACGAGATGACATTCAATCCTCCAATTACATCCTCTGTAACAACAAGCAGAAAGGTAAGTCTTTAACTGTTGTTTCATTCTATCCCTATTTTAGTTATACCTGTACTCTGCTTACCTTTTTTCATTGTCATGTAATTTCAGACATCTGCAATGCAGCATATGTTCCACGACTCAGCTCTGCAACAACAGATCAACCAGCTCCTTGAAAGCCCCTGCATTACTGATGACTTCAACTTTGCTGAAATTTTCCACACAGAATCCACCTGCAGCTGATTAGCTGGAAGCATTTAGATGTTAACTCCAAATGGAACACTCAATAAATACATTTTATAACTTTAAAACATTGCATATGTTGATACAGATCTGAAAGGGAAGGTGGAATGTTTCAGTTGCAACTTTAAGGCTAATCATGGTATCCATGCTCAATGTCTGTATATATGTAAACTTATTTGTATGAAACATCTTACTCAACTGCACCTTTAAAATGTATTAAAGGATAAAGCATTCACCTTGATTTTGGTCCATCAAACTTTTATGGAGTTAATTTAGAGAAATAAAAAACTTAAAATTCAGCAATTAATCCATATCTCCATTTGGCAAATCTCTTCCAAAATGCCTTACTCACCTGAACTTCACAAAATACTGTAAAGGCAAAGCAACAAGAATCTGAAAAGGAAACAAAATATTGATTGGCCTTTTACTACAGCAACAAACTCATCTGTACTATTAATATTTCCCGTTTTGATGTCCAACAAGTAAACACACTACTTCATTTATTTCAGCAGAGACATATGTCTCAGCGTACTTTATGACTGCTGCTGCTTGAGGCAACCACGAGGTGGTGTGTGAGCAGCACAACATCCCTGCTCAGTATCCCCCTCTAGAAAACAACCACACCAGGGACACGAACAACAATATTACAGTTGTATAGCGCCTTTCACAACACATCCTACTTACCTAATTTCAGAAAGTAAGGTGCAGGTTGGAAAGTTTGGACACTAAAGTGTGCAGAGGTTTAACCAGCTAAAACAGCATAGCAATAAACTCTTAACAAGCTTGTCCAGCTAGGAACATCCTACACATGTCGGGTTAACATGAGTCAAGTCAGAAGAATCTCTGCCATTATTGACTGGTTCCAGCCAGCAAACCATCATCAACAATACCTTGGACTGCTGCAGATCTGCCTGGGTCAGGCACTGGTCTACAAAGATTCCCCTCCGATTGACTCAATTCCTCTATTGCCAGACAGGTCACCTTGGAGCCAAATCAGATACCTTCTCCCTCCAGAAGATTTGTGGACAAGTACCTTATCCTATTTTAATAGTTCAAGTATAAAATGTTTATTTCCATTTTTTAGATTAACTGAAATTTACAGCAATACTATCAGTCAAATTTGGTGATTGAACATAGTCAATTCGCTATAGGGTATATTCTGTGAAGCGCTTTGAGACGTCTAGAAGACGTGAAAAGCACTATCAAATGTAAGGATTATTATTATAGTTACTGGATAGAATTATATCACCAGATAATAATAATTCTTGCATTTGATACAGTGCTTTTCATGTCTTCTAGACGTCTCAAAGCCCTTCACAGAATATGTTATAAAGTGAATTGATTGTATATTTGTAGGCAAAATTTTAAAACTTTGAAAACAGAATTATGATTTTAATCCTAAAATGTCACTTTAACTTAATGTACCAGTCAAATAACCCAACTGTATATTTTTCTCATTGTTTAAACATGAATCATTGATATTTATTCAGATCAACAACATTAATACACTAATTCCCAAAGTCAGTTACATATAAATACAAATATTAATTCACATCACAATCCATATACAACCTGAAAATACATAGAAATGATTTTGTGTAAAAAAAACTGACTTGATGGCAAAATGTTTCAACATTTGAAAGGATAACATTGCACAAATAAAATTCTCACAAAACACCAACAAGTTCAATACTCAGAAAGTAATCCATACAGATCAAAGAACTAAATAGAGTAAAGTTAAAAGGATTGTGGGTTTCACACAATGTACAATGTGTTAACAAAAACAATTGTTTTAAGTATTTACCTTCAATATGCAATCACTGATAAATTAAACATTCACTGCAAGTTAAAATACATTATACAGTTCAACTGTAGTATTTGCAAAACTTAAGACCATATTTACCAATCACTTTCTACAGAGGCCCAGTGAATGCACTCTGACATCAACCTGACCAGGTTTTAAATGGCACAAAGTGTGTTACATACCCGTTCCTCCTTTCATTTGATGAATCTGCACAGTCCCCTTAAGGACTTCAGTATGTAGGTACAAGATGCAGAAGAGTAGTGAGAATGCACCAAAACTGTTTTTCATTGACTTCACTCAAAGATATATTCAAAACAACAAAAAGTAACCTCCAGCAAAAAATTAAAGGCAAAACCATTGGAAAACAATAGCAAATTCTAGAGGAAAATGCATGCTTGAAACTCTCACAGGCCCCTTTAGACAAGGGCGTGGAGGCTCCGTTAAGACTAAACAGCTGCTTACTATTAGTGCTTGGATAGGGATCAGAAACACTTAACATTCATTAATAAATTGGGAACTAATGTGTCAATTAAAAGGAGATCAAAGAGCATCTGTCTCCCCTCAGTTTATTAAGGAGCTGAATCAGTGACCAAATCCTTAGTTGGGGGTGTAAGCTTGGCCTTTGTGGCCACCTCTTTTATTAGCACATTGCATTACTTCTTTACAATATTTCTAATTCATTTGAACACTTTTAAAACAGTTCCAAGGCAAAAAGCTGGGAAATAAATACATACTGACAACAGGAAAGTGCTTTTTATATAAAGATTATACTCCTGATTCTAAAATGGTGCCAGATGTTCCAATCTCTGTTCAAAACTTAGCGATCTGATCTTTTATTAATGTCTGCCACTGATATTTAAATTCAAACTCCCCGACTTGGATTTTGCTCCAACCCAACAGGAATTGCCGAATACTCCAAAAACACTGTGCTGTCAGTTCCAAAGTTTAATTTGTTACCTTAGAGATTCGATTGTAAAATGTAGTAGCAATTTCTGTAGCTTAAAACATGTACATTTGTACTAGCTTTCCTACTGCCCTTTCAGGCTATTATAAGAACCTGTGGGACAGTGCCTTGGGAAAGAGACCATGATCCATCACCGATTAAAAAATGATGACTGCACAATGGAACTAATGCTGCTTTAAGAGGAAAATCAAAACCACAACTACTGTACTTGCTGGTGTCCAGTAGCGATTGCCAGACTTTTTAATCTATTTGGCTACACATTAGGAAATGATAACATTGTGAAGATTTAGTATAGACATAGTTTCCACGTTGACAACCTATGTCCTCTATCAAGCCTTTAATTATCACTCCAGTTTCTTGTTCCTAGTTGGAGCTGCTGAATTGTTAATTAGTTATCTAATTACAGTATTGCCCAACAAGGAACAACCTCTTGTGAGTGGCAGCTCTGGGCACCTTCAGGAGATTCAGGCGTTTGGCATTTACTAAATTGGCAAACACATCACACAATGCAGCTCAGCTGAGCCACCACAAAGCAGCAACTAAACAAGCTCTATTTCAAACGTTTGGACATTTAACTGTTTAACGTTCAACATTTTTGTTAAAAGCACGGTCTCCTGACAGAGCAACTTTTTTAAAAAAAAACAGTAATAAAGAAAGTATTGATAAAATAATAAGTTACTTTTAGGAAGTTCTTATCCTGTTAGACGTCTTCATTATTTAAAAAAAAGAAAATATAAAATACAGTATATACGCTTGTCATACGTGTGAAGAGAGAACAAATGCAATTTTTTTTTACAGGACATGTTTGTTATATGTATCAAAATAAGCTTACTCATCGAAACAAACAGATAATATAATAAATGTAACAGCACATAGTGTTAAATCTCTGCTTAAATAAATAATTGAAATCTACCAAAAATATTTAATACAAACCTACGACAGTGTCTTTTACATCTAAAAATGTGCATGATTTTATACTGGAGTAAAATTATTAGATTTGCTTTCATCTCCTATTAATCTGATCTGTGTCCAGGGATCCAACACAGTCCAAAAGGAATCATTCCCTCTTTCAAATTTAAATATCTGTAAACAGCAACTAAAATGAACTCTAACCATGCGATAACAAATCAATAACTATTATTGGCTTCTAACATGATCCCAGTTGAGGAAGAATAGCAAACTTTTGAACAACTACAAGCCTTTCAAATGGCCGTCAGGGAACATGTGGTTGGGAAAGTGCGCAACACGAAAATAATCATTCTTGGGGTTCTATGCCCGCAAGCCTCCAATGCTCAGTCTAGCTGAGGCCATGCTGTCCATTCTCCTGCAAGCTCTCAGCCTGCATTTGGAGAGATCCAATTTCTGGCTGTTTCGTTCATGCCTATTGAAACGCGAGTCTATAAAGAAACAAGCCTGCTTGTTAGAAACTGAACCGTTGTCAGCCAATTCTCCTTTGTGTCACGTTAATCGATGATACACTTCATTCCAATGGCTGGATTTCTTACTTTATTGAAGTCGTTCGTGCAATTTCCAGTTTTTCTTTAAAAAAGAAAGAGCAAAACACCAAGCGACTGAGGAAGGGCTGACGATACACTTGCTAGAGGTTCATGTCCTTCACTTTGGCACAGCCCTGTTGAATTTCATTTTACAACAATCTGTAAGAAACAGACCTGAATCAAATGTGAACAGCAGTCTCGTCTAGAAGAAAAAAGAATCTTTCAAAGGTTAAAATGCATTTTGTTTCAAACCAATGGAACAAAGTAATATTATTTCCTGAAGAAAATAATCTAATTTATTTCCTTACTTCAGGCTGCAAAACTACTGTATTTGTGAAAACACCAATTTGGAAGAGATCCTAATTGAACACATTTGTAAGAAACAATCAGTTCAGCACTTGGCTTTTTAAAAAAATATAAATTATATAATAATAATCCTTGCATTTGATATTGTGCCTTATCACGTCTTTGAGACGTCTCAAAGCGCTTCACAAAATATATTACAAAGTGAATTCATAGTTTATTTTGTTGGTGAATTGCAGTAAGATGATATGGCTGTGTCATAGATCCCATTTATATACAATGAAACTCTGATAACACACTCCTGGGATAACCCGACATAACTCATCACTCGCTCAATATCCCAGCTATTTCCCATGAGCAATGTTAATTATGATCTTCTGATACTAGTCACCAGGATATCTTGTAACTAGTAAGGTGTCCGCATTTTTAAGATGACTTTTCCATGTTACAAACCTCTGATAATTCACTTCATTTGGGTATTTGGATGTGCGCCTATACTGTAAAACTAACAGAATTATGTGAGTCAGTGTGTATAGTATCGAAACCTGAAAATTGGGAGCTGGGACTGAACTCGATTCTGGTCAGGGGATGTCAGAGAGTGTATCTGCTATGAACTGTGTGACGTTTACAAGCTCAGGGACCTCCATTCCAGGTGAGCATATCCGAGGCTCAGTGAACTGAGCAGCACAGGTTCGCAGCCCGAGAGTAATAATTCACAAATCAACAGCAAATGAACCAATGACTTATTTATCATGGCCTTTGTAATGAGTGAACATAAAAGGAATTGTTTGTCAGGGGATACCTTCTAAATTACAATTCTAAATGACATGTGCATCATTCTGAATTTGTGGAAGCTGCTGAGATGCAAACACAGCTGCAGATTATACTTTCACTGAAGTGTACTTGTTCCATGTTTACAGAAGAAAGGAAATCTGCATGTAGCTCTGACATGACTTTTGAATATCAGGTATCAAGAGCGCTAAGGCACTTTTTTTGTACTGACCCAGCTCTATCTCATTTTCATTTTATATACATACAATCTTGGTTTTAAAACAAACACAAAATGTGGGACGATTGTGGAATATGAAACACATAGAATGCGTGAAAATAGTATAAATAAACATAACTGTACCCACAATAAGACCTCATCTTTCTAAAATTCAAACACTGGGCATAAAGGCAATTCACTCCAGGTGTGGCTGTGTGCGACTCATACACATACAAGTCTGATCAGGTAGTTCATCTAGCTCAGCCTAATCTGCCATCCTGCTGTTTTTCATAATATTTCAGCAAAGAAGCTGGGACTTATCAATTCACTGGGTGGAAGCTTCACAAAGATTCTAAGAGAGGTTTGGATGAAGAAGGACCTTCAGCCCATTTGATTTCATCTTTCCAGAATACTTATTCTGCTATCCTTTCACTGCAGCATCAGGCACAGCACAGAGACTAGGTCCCAATATGCAACGATTGTAAAATCTTATCCCACAGGGCCTAGGCTGGGAGCTCGAAATTCACATTACAGTGCAGAGGATACCAGCTCATTGGCCAAACATTACACATTTTTCTACCTTGGAAAAGAGCTGTCCTTTCCAGTATGAAAGTGTCTAGGGTCACTCATCATGTTCTATTTTGTGGGCTACTTTTAATTTAGTGGTTATTATCCAATGCAAAATAAACTGCTGATATGTGCTGAAAGTCAACAAACAGCTAAATATTAAGTCATACCTGAGTGTCACAATCTGCAACCATGTGAGAGGTGTCACTCGGTGATCTCAGAGAATGGCACACTGTATGGTGTTTTCTCATCCTTACTCTGGGAGCTTTCTGATGATGGTGACTGTAGTGGACTTGAAAAACTCCGGCTCTGTTTACTGGATTTGGTGAATCGCTTCAGCTCATTAGCAAAAGAAAGGCCTTTCTTCTTTTCTTGTGCAGCCTGCTGATAAATTCCAGAATTTATTGATCAAACTGAGCAATTAGAAACAGGGGAGTGAAGAAATTAGTCACATAAATATACTGTACATTGTGACATCTGGAGAAAGTCAAGTATTTTGTGATTTACATAGAGGTTAGGCAGAGATAACATTAATACTTGAAGGATTTCTGTTTTCTCTATCTGTTGCAAAGTTTAATAATAATAAAGTTTCAAAATAATTTAAAAAGTTTAACAATAATTCAACCGAAAGCAAAACAAAAATAATCAAATAGAAGGTAGCAGCTTTGTCTTGTGACTGATTAACCACAACCCAACTTATATTAGACAGACTTCTACAAAAAGTAGAAAGGGAGACTTCAAAACAGGAAACTGTCCAAAAGATATGAACAGAGTTGGTGCAAATTAACTAGAGAACTAGAGAACATCTGAAACCAGCAAGAAAAGCTGACTGATTAGAGGATTAAGGAATGATCCGCATTTAACTGTGCATTGGAATTTAACTGAAGAACACTCAGGAAAGACAAAGTTTATGAGCTGACATAACTCAAGCTGTTGTAAACTGAGGTGGGACATATAAAAACAAATAGAAAAGGCTGTATTGAATGATTATAACAAGTAATCAGCCAGTGGTTAAAGAGTTGTTTCTGAGGTTTGGAACCAGCCTTGTCCGCAGCCCGAAGGAGTGTATGGGGACTAGTGACGTGCTAACCTCCTTTAGCTTGAGGATAAATTTTCCTGCTCCTTTCCACTTGCTCTGAGCCAGGAACACACTCTCATTCTCAGAAAGGATTCGAAGTGCAGGCTTCGACATTGACGATTTCTTGCTTAAAGCCTCTTTGGTGACCTCCTCTACAAGCACGTAGTCATTGGGATTTGGATTACTTAGGATCGTGTAGGAATATTTGGCTTTACTCAGTGCCTGTAAAACAAATAACAATTCTACTTTCATAAATCAGAAAATGAATAAGGCTTTAATGGATGTTGCTTCTAGTTCTGAAGTTACTTTACTGACTACTCTGGAGGTGTAGACAGCTAATTTTCTCTGTACTTGTTAAATGCATCAATGACACATAATAATAATCCTTGCATTTGATATAGCACCTTATCATGTTTTCGAGACTTCTCAAAGTGCTTCACAGAATATAATTTGAAGTAATTTTGTGGGCGACACATATGTGTTAAAGTTGCCTTATGCTTTTGACAAAAAAAATTACTAATATTTCAATTCTACTGCTACCAATCTAAATAGAAATCAGCCGTCACCAAGTATATGACCTACCTGTAGAATAATGTCCTGGGCAGTGCTGAACTTTGACGCCCTGATAACGGTGCGAGGCTGTTCAGGGGAGACATCATGCACCTGAACCAAGAAACTATCGACTTCTGGACTGCTGCTGTAACTCACATCCTCTCGCTCCTCATTCATGGAGTTTTCTTGGTTTAGCTTCTGTGGGTTTAAAAAAAANGGAGGTTGACAGTAAGTTTACTTCATGTTTCTGAATATGGAGATTTTTCAGTCCACTTCTGGTACTTGCTTATTTCTTACAGCAGAATACAAATTCACATTTATGTGGTGCCTTTCAGATAGGTAGGATGTCTCAAGGTCATCCAACAACAAACTCTATTCTTTCATTGTCTAATCACACTTTTACAGTTTAATATTATTGCTAAACTGAAATAATTCTCAAAATGCAATGAGGATACAAACACAGAATGTCTGTCTACACCGAATAAAAGAAGCTACATAAAATGGAGCTTGACAACAGAAACTGATGTACCTCTTCCTTGGTTTTCAAAATAATTTTCCCCACAAACCCTTCCTCTGGTTGTAGAATTCCCAGGATCTCCTCCTCAGGATTAATCACACGCTGGAATGGCTGCTTCTTGCATTCGTTCTTCTCTTTAGAAAGAGATGTTTTCTCTTCCAGAAGAAAGAAGTCACCAGCATCTGACTCAGAGCCACCCATGGTTTCTACAATCTGCAGAGAGCAATTAGAAAGAAAACACAATTTCCATGAGAGTTTGCCTCTATAAATGGAATCGTTTCAGCTAATTTGGACGTTTAAATTAAAGGCAGATCATTGCAAAAGAAGACCAATGTCAAATTCAGCCAGTTGACTGATCAGATCATAGGGGGAGGGGATGGTTTATGCAAATCATTTATCATATTCAAATATAATTGGTTTACTTTTAAGTCCTCTTAATATTTGTTATAGTTATAAATTTAAATTTTCCTCCACTAATAATAGCTCTAAATTAAAACATCCCATTTAAAGAGCACAGCTATACATACCCTGAGCGCTCAATGAAAGAAAACACAATTCACAAGCATTCAGAATGAATGTTTTATCTATGTTTTACAGACATTGGATGCCCAGAATTCAATACTAGTTTATTAATCAGAATTGACACCTTCATGAAGACAAACAATTATAAAAACATTGCCACTCATCTCTTCATGTAGGAAGTGGTTCTAAAAGTCACAGCATCATTACCTCCTTTCTGCTCAACCGGATGCACTTCTAGTGGTCAAATCAACCCATTTAAGGAACAAAAACAGTAAATCTGGATTACATTTTAGACTTCTTGTTATTTTTAAAAATTCTTAAACAAATAAAAGGAAACATAAACAGCAGCCTAGCAAAGTTTCCATTCTGCTTTCCCTTATTAGGCACAACTTTCCAATGGTTCCCTTGACCTTGCAAATGACACAAGAATATAGTGACTCACTTTGAGCATCAGCTGTCTGGCTGTGGTCTTCTCAGTAATGGTGAAAACGCTGAACGGTTCGGGGCCAGGAATCCCGTGGATAGTAACTTTATATGTAAGACCAGCTCGCCGTTCATCTGTGCTAAACAGCTAATTGGATTAATAAACCCGTTAGTCACTTTGTCCTGATAAAACATTGGCGATTATAAAATGACAATTACCGAATAATAGATCATCTACATAATTACCACTGATGCAGATATTAGATTCCCAGACAAATTTTCTTCCATCCTTCGACTATAAATGAAGAGACTGGATATCTCCAGAGGTTCATTATGAGTATTTCTTAATTGTAGGTGTCTGTATCCTATGTGCAAAGAATTGACAAAGAGAAAGCAAAGTGAACATCTTATATTCTGAGTCATTATGCCCCAAAATCACTATTTATCAATGCAACAGGTTTGTAAAATTGTCCATCCTTCCTTGGTGCTTCACAAAATAAAAACTGAACACAAAGCACTTTCTTGAAGAGGGTGACTTTTTCCTTCCCTAACCTGCCCCAGCTGGGAAATTGTAGGAACATTCCGATTCAATTTCCTTCACTTAAACCAGAACAACAAGGATTCTGAAAAGAATGGACCTGAATAGCTGAAGGTCACCTCCAGCAGGTAATCCTGTGGCTCTGATGATCTTTGCAAATATCAGCATTGGGGGGGGGGGGGTTGAATATGTGGTATTTGTATCAGGGGGTGATTGCTGATAGCCTGAAGTGTATCAAACTGATGCATAGGAATGTTGTCACCCATAGACTGCATTGGAGCACAGTTGCTGCTGTTGAGTGTAATGTACATCCAGTTACTGGTAATGTGGCAGTTACACAGTTAGTACACTTTTAGATGCCAAATTAATGCCAGTTTTGTTTACCTTTAGAGCTGTCAGTCACCACCTTTAAGCTGCAGCCTGTCAGCTGCCTTGGCTTGTGACAGTTCTAGAGGGAAACAAGAATCTTGAAAAGAGGATTATCATTGTTTAAACTGTTTAGGTTAAAACAAAGGGAGCTCTTCTTCATCCCAGCAATCTTTTTCCCAATAAAATGTGTCTGTTTCAATCTGTTTTCCAATTAGAAAGCCAATTAGATCAGATCTTCGAAAGACCTTCAGAAGACCTTTTCCTTGCAATCGTTTGCACTTTGACAGATTTATAGTTTTTAAATGTCATGACATTTAGCATTTACTGTACTGTGTAGGGCTCCCAAAGCAAGCATGCTTGCAGCTCGCTCACACAGGAACACTCAGGGTAGAGAGCAGTCTTACCTTGTTTAAGTGCTTTCAGTGGAATCACTCTTTGAGCTGTTACAGTAGAGCTGTTATTCTCCACCACAGCAAAACGCAAGAAAATTAGGTCTTCAAAGTAAACGTGAAAAAAGAATTGTTCATTCCACATGGGGTTTAGAGTGTTGCGGTGGATGGGTTTGGTGCGAAAGTGACAGCTGTCCTGCGGCATACCCAATACATCAACTTCAACACAGGGGCTCCCTGAGGTGTTGCTGGGACAGACATATTGTCCAGAAATGATCTGGATCAAAAGAGAATGGAAATCTGAGTTTTGCTAATAGACAGAGCAGATGTTTCCTATAATTAACTCTGATAAGTTTATCACACAAAAAAGATTGAAATTCAAGCTCATTTTGTATTAAGCGCCTTGATATGTCCTGCTGATGTGAAAGGCTCTATATAAATGTAAATATGGTGTACCATAAATGCAGTAGTGGCGTTGCTATTACCTGGTCATTCATCAAATATTTTGCCTGCTTCTAGTCAACAAGAGGGTGAACTGGCAGAACAGCAAATCATTTTTCTATTTCATAAGCTCCTTAGGACTTGTTGCTATTATTCTAACAGTTTTCATTTTGTATAGTTTAAACTGGCACAGCAACAAGTCATTTATCCAATTTTCTTTCACAAAATTCACATAAAAGAGCTGGTTTGTTTCCCCAGAGGCTAGTTAAGGGTCAGGCAAAGGCTGACATTGCTTTTATCACATCTTAACCCTGCTGGTCATGGGAATTATATGAATGTAGCCATGGGCCATTCATAACATTGTACTTCAGTTCACATGTTAAAAGGAAATGAAACATCATTGATTTTTATCAAACTATCTTATGTGATTTCACTCACTAAGTAACTGATATTACAATTTCTCATTACAGTAGTCCTGAAATAGAAAATGAAAATAAATAAGTTAAGGGGCATAAACTCTATTGGATTTTCTAAAACTTACTAGCATTCTGAGCAGGTTGAGAATATGAATCAAATGGAAAATTATTTTTCAGTTATATGTGAAATGGGAGGATGGGGACAGAGGAAACAGAAATATTTATGTTATTTTACAGCAGTACAAGCCAAATAACCTATCAGGTGATTGCTCATGGGATGGAAAATACAGATGTTCTGCTTCAAATGTAGTTTTTCAGCTTTTAGACTATGAACTCTCTGAACTGCTTCTGTGGTTGTTTCCCTTCAATGGTACATGTGCTTATAGGATAAATCCGATCACATAACACTTAAAATAGCAATCCTTTCCAAATCTTGTAAATATCCCAGTGTAAAGATTCAACTATTCAAGGTTCTTTTTTTAAAAAAGGAGAAAATTAAGTTTTCTCAGAATTGGGTTCTAATAATTGTTTGCTTACAATCTGCTTACAGTCTGCTTACAAAATATACAGTCAATCCTCTTTATAGTATGTCCTGTGAAGAGCTTTCAGACGTCTTGAAGAAGTGATGAGACACTATATCAAAGATTTTCATTATTAATCTACTAAATGCAACAGATAAATGAAACACATTACTGCACTTACTGTTAGGGTATGTATTGCTGGACTCATATTTTCCATTCGTTCTAAAGGAGAGAACTGGTTATGCATCAGGCAATTTTTGTCCCATAGAACGCCTGGCTTTAAGATATACCCACAACCACCATTAGCTTCAAACATGGCTGTATCCAGATACATTGGAAGATCTGGGAAAAGAATACAAGAAATGTAATTTTAATTAGTGTACTCTCATTGCGTGCACCAGAAATAGATACAACATAGAATTACATAGAATACACAGCACAGAAGCAGGTCATTTGGCCCAACTGGTTTATGCCAGCATTTATGCTTCACATGAGCCTCCTCCTGCCCTTCCTCAACTAAGCCTATCAGCATAACCTTCTATTCCTTTCTCCCTCATGTACCTATCTAGCTTCCCCTTAAATGCATCAACGTTATATTAAATGCATCGACAACATAGACAATTTTTTTTAAATGCAGTACCTCTGTATTTGACATAGGCTGAGTGAGGTTATTCCACATTCCTCTATGATAAGAACATAAGAAAAGTCAGGGATGAGAAAAAGACCCCTGGATCAGTGACACCTATCTCTACATAGAAGCAATAACCATGTCGATTTGTGTTAAAAGTGCAAGAATTGTTTGAGAATACAAGTCTGTACAAGATTGAAGGGTGAGACCGCAAAGATTCTTCAATCAAGATGTCTAGACTTGATTACTACTTCCTGCAGCATCACATGTCCCTTATTGATATTCAATCTTGTCCTTGAAGCTACTTTTATTCTAATCATTTTGTACAGCCCACAACCCCACCCCCCACTGCTTATCATTCAATCCATTCAGGCACGTCAGGACGAAGATACCACACATTCTCAATTTAGGTCAAATGCTCTTCAACTGGAATTGAAAATGGAACTGAAGTGCACCCTGCAATCAGATTTCTAAATGCAAATTGGATCTAAATAAATGCTAAATATTGAGCTTCTTTTTAAAATCCTCCAGTGATTTTCACCTTAACTCCTGCTGATGTACTTGACATAACCTCTAATGAACACCTCGGAGCTAATTACAGACTCCATTTGAAACCCCGCCGCTCACCATCTGTTTGATAATTCAGAGCAACCAACTGTATCCCATGAAGCCAGAACATGAGGGGAGACGGGTTGGAGGAGTCGATTCGAGTGGCAGCGGGATATGTTCGGAGCAGCTGACAGACCGTATGGTGGATCAGTTCCTGGGAATAGCGGCGGCACAGCCTCTTGGCAGTGTTCTCATTCACTGACGAGATGTGGTAACACTTGGGTGTCCTGATTATAGCGCTCAGAGAGGTGGTTGGATTGAAAGGTGGAGAGGATGGCTCTTCGCAATTCTTTCGCAGACCTTCAGAAGAGCCGGCTGGGTAAAATAAATACAACCATTTTCTTTAGTTAGACAATATCAGCAATATCAGGGACTGCTTTGAAATGGACAACTCAATTTTTAAAACTTATTTTTCTCAAAAATGATGGGCATTGTTTACTGATTCTGTGTTGATGTTGGTGTTGCAACTGAATACTACATCAATGCTTGCAAAGTAAAATCAAGTCATCTGATGTACCTGCTTTCCTGAATTTCACCCTTGTTCTCTGAAGTATAAGTGTAAACAGTCAGCATTGGGGAACTGTTTGAGGTGAGATTTATAATCAAAAAAGAGTGAAATGGATTGCAAACCTATTTAAACAGATGGACTGTTACTTTAAAAATAGATTACATTTTTAAACCCAAATAAGCAACACTTGGCAAATCAATGAAATAAATCAAATTGAACATTATATCTCTTCTGATAGCTTAGCTGTAGCATTTAGTGATAATCTGTGAAGCCATTTGAGAAGGTGTTCCTGCATCAATTATTTTGCCTTGAACAAATAGTCACAATCAGGACAGGCCAGGCATGATAATATTCAGCATTTGTGGTTTAATGCAAAAAGAATGAAGCATAATTTGCACTTAGTCTCTTTGATCAGTGATGTTGGATCTTTACACGCATTTTGGATTTCACGATCACTGTTATTACTCAAGAAACACCTTGTTTGCCCACAGAATACTACAGTCAATTCACTTTACAGTATATTCTGTGAAGCACTTTGAGACGTCTCGAAGATGCTATATCAAATGCAAGGATTATTATTATAATATAAATTTAGTCACTTAATCCACGACTCTGTGGGATTCTGCTATGTGCAATTGTTTGCCACATTTCACCCACAAAATACAGTCATTCACTTTACAATATTTTCTGTGAAGCGCTTTGAGACATCTCAATTACGTGATAAGGCACTATATCAAATGCAAGGATTATTATTATTACTACTATTACAGCAAGATCCTTAAAGCAGTTTTCAGAGACCTCTTGCTTCCATTAAATCGTCTTACAGTTTCACACAAATGTCTCATCATTATTACATAAAGGGAACATGTTTTTCTATGTTCAAATCAAGTCATGTTTCGACTACTAACTCTACATCAGTTCTCAGCGTGTGCTTGTGGGAATCGGTTAGCTGTGCCACTCACCTCTTCCAGATGCTCTAATTGGTGTCACAGATTCCCCAGGGCTCGTTCTGTTGGACTTCCTGTTTGGTTTCACTTTGCCTCTGTTTGATCCTGTTGCATTTAGAGTCGAAAGACCTGTTCCCATTAAGAAGAGGAAAGGGTCAAAACTAAAGGGTACAAGTTTTCCCAAAGGATTTTTTTTTCTTTACAGTCCCTTGTGTATCCTGTGTGTGGTTATGTAAATGTGTTGCTCAGTATTAGTGGTTTCTTTCCCTTTTATAAAGGGCTAGAATAAGAGTGAAACACAGCAGCTAAATCCTTTTCAATTTTAACGTATTTCTAGTAATGCAACTGCAGTATATATAGGGTTTCATTGTATCTTCTGTCATTGAAGAATGACAGAAGAAACAATTAAATTGTATCTTAATGATAAGATATCTTCAACCATCTGAATAAATACATATTTTACACAGCAGATTGAACAAACCAAGGTATGTTGCTTACTGATTATGAGCAACCTTTCAGTTGCAGGAAGCAGCTAACCTGTGAATTTGATGGCTTGACAGTAAATCACCAGGTCTGAGAGCTCAGGCGCAATTTGTCTGCTCTCTTTTTTGTTTTGAGGCAGATAGAACTCTTCACCCAATTCCATGTCATAAACCTGGGAATAAAATAAACAAGTTTGGCATTCTGCAATGTTGGTCTAATACCAGCAGCATTCTGCAATACTACTAAACAATACTAAACATAGAGATTTACAGCGCGGAAGGAGGCCATGCAGTCCATCCCATTTACTTGTTTTCTCCCCATATCCCTGCAAATGACTCTGTCCACAGTTCCCTGTTGAAAGCTAAGGGTTACACATTCTGTAATTTTATCCTTTAGGAGGCGTTGGGAGTTGGATAGGGTACTTGGTTGGACAAACAGTATATGATCTGGGGAGGGAGTGGATCTTTTTGAACAAATTACCTTTTTTTCCATATTCCCTTCTTACGTCATTGCACTTTGCTCTCTTAAAAACACTGAATGGTTTTTCCACAAGTGATTCTTTACAGTATTAATGTACAAATCAGACACACAGTTTCTTACAATAAATCTCTTTTGCTTCGCCTTTTCTTTGTTCTGTAATGTTCCATCAGTTGATATTTTCTTGATTCTCCGTGGAGTTTCTTCAGTGTACTCAAAATGGAATTTATCACTTGAAGACTTGCTGTCAGGTCGATCATCAAGAATATTGTCTGTAAATATATACGTATATATATGTTACCATAACTGCTACAACTGAAATTCATATTACTGAAAGAATGCTCTCAAATACACTATGTGATTTAAAAGACGTATTCCTATAGTGCTTATAAGGCATACAGAAAATACAATTTTCCAGTCTACTTTGGCCACCTCTATGAATCCATCTATTAACCAACCTTTAAAAGGCTATCAAGCTTTCAAAATCTGGTTATCTAATAGTTTCATATAGGATCATTCATTAATTGCTGTTATTGCAGTAGAATCCCTAATATTTCAATTTATCATCGACAAGTTGTCGATTAACATGTGATCCATTTTCATTTAAAATACAGTAGCTAATAGAAGGGTTTCCTTAATATTGATGGACTAAGTAGGCTGCACCTAAGGCTAAATATTCCCAACCACTGCAGCCCAATTTGACAGTTCCAGTCAGTACTTGGCTAATAAAAGTGACAGGTTCACTATAAAATCTCACTCCAGTTGATGTGTCAAGAGGAGACAGTAAATGAAAAACATACCTTTTAAACTATGTTTCAGTATTTTTCTTATTTCATTCCTACATATAGGCTCCTTTTAATTTCCTATTTTTTAAACTGCACCCTCACAGAAATAAGATAGCAGTTACAGTGTGCAGTTAATACATAGGCTGTCAATTATCACTTCTGAACTATTAATGATTGACTCACTTTCATTAATCCTTCAGTGTGAATAGCTGTACAGAACAGGAAGTAAATATATCACTTTAGAAACTCCAGGATTATTATAGAAAATATAAGGGAATGATCTCAATCTCAGAGTTCAGAATTCTCCAACTTCCTTCCTGTAATATATTCCACCATTTGAACTCACTCAATTGAATCCTGTGGTGGTCTTAACCGTTCTTCATTATTCCCTACATAAATGTAATAGATGTTTTTTCAAATTTTATTTTCAAGTGGTAGAGCTTTATTGATGCCCATCGAAAAGTGTGAAAGTAAAACAAAATCACACCCACTGCAGTCTCACACTAAAATATTATTGTAGATCTTAAAAATGAAAATGTTTCCAAAGAGTTTACATTTCATTTAAAAATACTTTAATTTCACACTCCCTCATCCACAATGCAACCATCACACAAATGTGTTCAGTGATGAAACTATAATATAACGCAATGCCAAAAAAGACCAATTACACTTATTTACTAAGTCTTGTCATTTCCCAGCTCCGACAAGCGGTCAGTCATGCACGTGCAATGGATGAGTTGTTACTTTTATGGGTCTTCTGCTGTGGTATCAAGAGGAGTTTGTAAAGTGTACATTCAGGCGCAAAAGGAAATCTTAGACACGGGACTTTCAAAGAACACTTTCAATAGAAGGAACATTCAATCAAGGTACTTTTACCTTCTTGGCTATTCACAGCAGGAGAGGGGGAAGCATTAAGGGCATCGGCTACAGGAATCGGAAGTAAGATAGAGAGGGAAGAAGAGCAAAGAAAAGTCAGATATCAGTTAGAATAGCGAGGTAAGAAAGATTAAGTTTTAGCCAAACTGTAAAAACTTCCCATCTTAAACTAAATAGGGCAATTTTTTCACTAATATTAGATTGAGACACTCTGTTATAACGTGTCTACCCAGCTCCTATTAGTTCAAGTTGTTGCCAATTTTTTTAGAAGCTATTAAATGTTTCAGGTTTAATGTACAGAGAAGGTGAAGGAAAGAACATAAAGGGAGAGGACAAACTCTACAAACTGCTGCAGTCGACTCCTGTCAAACCCGATTAACAATAACTGTTTTCTTCAATTAACTGGCAAGTGTGATTATCAGGGGTGTCATTACAGGGCAGTGCAGGAAGTGATTTCACAGACATCCTCTGATCCCTCCAATAACTACAGTCTATCCTGCTTATGTATTGCTGCACCGCTACTGTTACCATTTATAAAGCAGATTTGAGGTTACTTGAAGCTGTTTTGACAGACTTGGGCTTTTTTCATTTCCTGTTCATTTACTTTAACTGTACAAGCACCTGCACTTAGATGTGAATAGTATACTGCAAGCCAGTTGCATTTGCTGGAGCACTCAGACATGTTGTTGTCTTCAGATCACTAGACCTTACGCTTGTTTAAGCTGTTGCTATGGGCCATTATGGCATGAATTCAAGTACTTCTCAGTGTGAGATAGGGCAGTACTGTTCCCAAAATGGATGATTATTTCCGATGCTTGTAATATTCAGCAAACTGGTCTTCAAAGAGGCTGTTAAAGGGAGCTTTGTCACCATATAATGGAGGTTTAACTTATGCCACATAATATTCAAATAGGATGACTTAGTGAAACTGCCTGCTGCAAAAACTGATTAAGCATAGCTCTGGTGGTTCCCTGAAGAATATTAACACTCCACTTGCTGTATGCAGATTAAACTAAAGCAGCATCTTTCTCAGGGTAGCTTTCAGTTATGAAGGCAGACACGAGTATGTCATTTCCAAAACATCAATGACATGGTTACTGACGCAGCATTTCAAAATCTGCTGAAATGTCCCTTTAAACCAACTGAAAGCAGGTGGGCGCAGAATATAACAGAAAGCAACAGAACCAAAAGAACTCATCTGGCATACTCCAAAAATGAAGCAGAGAAAACCAGTGAAACCGATTCCACTTCTTTGGATGGATTGTGCGTGCCCATGTACACAAATGTCCTGTTACATACCTTGTATCAAAGAAAAGTTTACTTGTAAACTTTAGGTAAATAAATACCAAAATAAATCACACTTTGGCTGGTATGATTTTTGAAAGGGTCTTACTTTTTTGGTGGTTCTACCATAATTCGATCAAGGAGTAAAAGTTTGGAAATGTTTTGAGCCTATTCATACCATATAACATGCCAGTAAAATCATGCTGAACAATTGCACAAAAATTGTAGGCCACTTGTTAAAATAGCGACCTTTTTCTTAATCTTTATAATAGGATTTCAAGATGGAAAGACTGTTTTTGCACTGAGAATAAAGGGACCTGACAGCAACACAACTTATTTCAGTACCATCAGAAAGCGATTCGTAGTCATAATCGTATTCATCATCTTCATCTTCCTCCTCATCATTGTTGGAGGTTCCACTGCCGCTCAGATTGCCATTACTGGCTTGAGCCTGGAGGTTAGCGAGCTGATGTGCCTAAACAACACAGTGTATTGCTCAGTAAAGTAATATATTGAAAATGTTTTGAGCCTATTTCATATCATATAACAGGATTACAAGACAAAGTTACATAAATCTCATTTTCAACTTTCAATTGTAGTATATAAATGCAATTTGTCGTTATCTTTGTTGTTGTTGTTTTGGCACCCATTAATTAGGAGATTTTTGGAGCAACGTTTCAGATTTGCCATTTACTAATCCTTTTACTAATCTCCCAATTTAGACACCAATAACAACCTAATAAACTCCGACTTTTGCTTGCACTCCAGATAAATTTCAACAGATTATCCCAGCTCTGCTCTGATACCAGGTGCTGGTATTGAAATGTAATTTTCAGCTGTTTGGGCAACACAAAATACATGTTAACGTTATGTGACTAATAGATTATTCCTACTGTTTTCTACTTACACTTAAGAAAGCAAAAGTTAAAAGAACTTACTTTCTGTTTGAGTATATCAACTGGAGTCTGGTGGGCTTTTAATTTCTTGTTTTTGAGGAGGATTTTCCCTCTGAGTTGCCATACTGAAGGTAGCATTGGATTATCCGCAAAATCACTCTCAAAGAGAAATTTAGTCACCAGCTTGTCTCCAAACACATTCTGTAAAACAGAAGCAGTCTGTAAGTGCATGAATGAGTACAGTCTTTAAAGCAAATCAGCAATCCTCATCAATCATCTGCTTGAATACAATGGATGGAAAAATGTATCCCTTACCTTGACGATTTCTGCCATCTTCCTTTGCTGGGGCAAAGAGCAATGATTCTCTATCGATAAAATGACAGGCATGTCGGAGTTTATAAAAGCACTGCGGTTGATTGACTCTATTACATCCTGTGGAGAAAGTGCAAAGTTTGTGTGTAATGTTGGAGATAATTGTATCTGCATGTACAACATCAAATTATACTGTAGAGTTCAGGGGCTGGTTTATCCTGTTTAAGAAATGAAATATAACCCTACCTTAAATGGAATCTTTGTTGTGAGAGTATGCCCATGATATATGATGGGCATGCCATCATCCCCATCCCAGCAGTCTAACTCCACACTCCGGCATCCTTGTAACAGCACCTGTACGAGTGGGAAATAAAGGTTTTACATTACTGGAGGGGAAACAGCCCAGTGTTAAAAGAGAGAAGACAGAGCGAGAAAGAGGAAACATACACACACACACAAACAGTGCCTTTCTCAAAGCGTGAATATCTTGAGTGCTTAACAAATAGAAGAGGGAGCAATCAGCAGAGAGAATTTAGAGGTCCCACACAAAAAAAGACACATTTGTAGAAGAGAAACAATATTAAAAATCTGGTACCTGGCTATAAAGTTCCACTGAAGATTCTCCTTTGAGCTGATGGCCAGTGAGGTATGTGTTGTGAGAGGATTCAATATAGTAATATGAAAGGGGATACTGTAAATCTTCCATATTGACCTGGGATTCATCATTCTTTGAAGCAACGTTCTCTTTGTCCATTAGAAATCTAAACAAAGAATTTCAATGAAACAGATATATAATCCAGTGTACTCTCATGACAGGCTCTGTCTCTTGTAGATAGAGCATTACTATTCTCCACTACCACTTGTGTAATAATGAGACTTAAGTCAGATAGTAGTATTTTGAAGGAAAGTAGCTTTCAGGCATAAAATGGGACACATGAGGGTTCATCTCCCAATGTTTGTGCACTGACTTTTGCCTGCACTCTTCTAATGGAATTTCCAAGACCAGTAGATTGCACGTGTATTTAAGAAATTACAAAGATAGGTGACAAAATGTAACTTACTATAACAACGAAAACACTCAGAAACATATCAGCAAAGTAATACCTTGCAAAACCCTCAAATGACAGCAAACCCTGTTGACGCATGTTGACCGCTGGCTCAAATTTCTGTGAAGGAATTAAAATATATTTTTCAATAAACATCAAATAATATTTAGTATGGATCAGGATACGTTAATGCTGGGCAAGTTTTGCCATAATTATATTTAAATATTATTAATTTCATAGATGCAAAACATAGGCAATCACAAGTCCTGTTATTGCAATGGATTCTTTCTCTCCTTGGGCACAACATCTAAGCACTATACTGATAAATCTTCTTGGGAAATGAATGGACAGATTTTCACTCTATTTCAAGTGAATACAAATCTATACATCAAAACTGCTTTAAGATTCAGCAGTTAGCAGTAACTTGACATTCTCGATGTGTCAGAACATAAGAATGAACCATGCATGAAATAGAAAAATAATAATAATCCTTGCATTTGATATAGCGCTTTTCACGTCTTCTAGACGTCTCAAAGCGCTTCACAGAATATGCTGTATAGTGAATTGATCGTATATTTGTGGGCAAAACGCAGCAGCCAATTGCACACAGCAGTGTCCCACAAACAGTCATGGATTGAAAATGACCAATTTATTATTGTTTTGCTTTTTGGAGGAATTATTATTAGGCGTGTGGAGTAAGGAAACTTGCCCAAGGTTTCGCCCTGCCTGGAAATGAACCCACGTGTCTCTCTTGTAAGCCGAGTGCTCTAACCACTAAGCCACAGGACTCCACATACTCTCTTTGGGCCCAACAGGGGGCATTCTTCTGAAAGCAGTCTACTCACATTGCCATAACATGTTGTACCATGTTATTTCCAACCTGAACGCATACTGTGTTATCAGAGATGAGGCACGAATGTAACCTTTAACATGAGAACATCTGCCTCCACTCACCTGGCTCCGGCCTTCTGCATGTTTCCCGTGCCCTCTGTTCCACCATTGGTAGCTGTGCTTTCAGCCACTATGCCCTGAAACTCTGGAACACTCTTCCTCTATCCCTCTGCCTTGCCCCTTCCTTCCCCATCATGCCTGAAGACCTTCCTATTCGACCGTGCCTATGGTCACCTCCCCCCAGCTTGGAGTCATGCTCCGCCACTGTCAAGACTTCAGGTATGCTATCCTGCATGAGGGGTGCTATATAAATGTAAGTTGTTGTTTTTGCAGCAAAACAATACTTTTACATTCACTGATTACATGCATCATCATACAGTACAACTCAGACGTGAATTAATAATCCAAACCTGTATAATACTGAGGATTTCATCATAAGTGTGATGTTCTCCTTGAGAGTTGACCAGGAAGTCATTTAGTTGCTGAATTCCCATTCCGCACTCTCCCAGGGATGCAATTTCCACTCGATTAGTCACGATGCTGGTTGCAGCGATGTAATCGGAAATCTGTCTCTGATTGTCTGACATTTGCTGGCGGCTCTTAATGAACAATCCCAGATCAGACACATTTCTTGTTAAAAGATCTGTACAAATAAACACAAATGTTATTCTTCATTCCCAATCACCATTCTGTCTTTTAGTCTCCTCAAACAAAAAAAAACATTTACTGGTCTTTTAGTTAAGGAATCTACATTAATGAGAGCCATTTCTTGTTATAAACATTCTACTTTTCTTTCTTCAAAACATCAAAGAATTTGATCTAGACGAGGACATTGAATGTAATGTATCTAAATTTGCAGATGACACTAAACTAGGTGGGAGAGTAAGCTCTGAGGATGATGCAAAAAGATTGCAACGGGATATAGAGTGGGCGAGTAGGTGGGAGATGGAATTTAATGTAGGGAAGTGTGAAGTTATTCACCTAGATAAAAAAAATAGAAAAACAGATTATTTGTTAGAGGGGGAGAGATTAGATAGTGTTAGTGTTCAGAGGGATTTGGGTGTCCTTGTACACCAGTCTTAAAAAGTTATTTTGCAGGTGCAGCAAGCAACTAAGAAGACGAACAGCATGTTGGCGTTCATTGCAAAAGATTTAGAGTATAAGAGTAGGGAAGTCTTGCTGCAACTGTATAAGGCCTTGGTGAGACCGCACCGAGAGTATTGTGTGCAGTTTTGGTCTCCTTATTTAAAAAAGGACATACTTGCCCGAGAGGGGGTGCAGAGTAGATTCACTAGGTAAGTACCTGGGATGAGGGGACTGACCTATGAGGATAGGCTGAATAAACTAGGGCTATATTCTCTAGAGTACAGAAGAATTAGGGGAGATCTTATTGAAACATATAAGATTCTTAAAGGGCTGGATAAAGTAGACACTGAGGGTCTGTTTCCCCTGGTAGGAGAATCTATAATCAGGGGTCACAGTCTTAAAATTAAGGGTCAGCCTTTTAGAACAGAGTTGAGGAAACATTTCTTCACTCAGAGGGTAGTGAATTTATGGAATTTTATGGAATTTATGGATTCACTACCCCAGAAGGCTGTAGATGCTCAGTCCTTGAACATCTTCAAGGCTGAGACTGATAGATTTTTTAAAAACAGAGGGATTAGGGCATATGGGGATAGGGCAGGTAATTAGAGTTAGGTCTGAAGATCAGCCATGATCTTATCAAATGGCGGGGCAGGCTCGAGGGGCCGAATGGCCTACTCCTGCTAATTCTTATGTTCTTATGTTCTTATCTAATAGTTTTGATTCAATCTACCAGAATTGTTAACGTTTTAACTACTCCCAACAAGTGACTCCATCGAAGATAAATATAAATGGGCATTGACTAGGAGATAAGAGCTAAGACATTGCACATCATCATGGTTGGACAAGTCAAAATTAGAAACAGTTCATGCTTCAAATCAACTATACTTATTAATTACTCAGAAAATCATCACATGATTCTAACATTCCCCTTGCTTTAGACTATGTCTAGTTTTAGACAATGTGAAGTAACTGTAAGCAGGAACATTCGGGGAAAAGGATTGGTTCAAGCTGGAAACCTAATTCGTAGAAATGATCATGTCTCTACAAACCTTATCAAAGAGACTATCACGCTAGCACCATGTTTAGATACAGCTCTGTCACTCTTGCATAAGAAAACATGCCTTGTGACTAGTGTAATGATATAGATTCCGTGACTGGAGCCTGCAAGCCATTCATAACACAGAATGAAAGATCAAGCTTTCAGTGAATGGTCCTATTTAAAGAAACGTGAAACCTGAGCATTTTGAACCCTTTTCAGGCTCTCACACAAACATGCTAATATATCAGGCTAAAACCATTAGAACCGAAAATTAGTTTGAGAAAGGATGGAGCACTCTTCCCCTAACATTATTATTGCAGGTTTTATTTATGGCTCAGAGATAATGATTTGCAATTCGACTCATGTGTGGGAAAGGGCAAAATGTTCCACCAAATAAAAGCCTATAAGACATTCAAAGCCAGAGGAAAGGCATTACCTTATTCGCAAGTGCATCACAGAGCCTGTAGTTTCCTCCGAAGTGCTATGTTGAGTGAAGCTCATCAGATTAATACTTTAAAAATAATGAAGCCAGTACCTTCAGCCCCTGACTTCATTAAACAGTGAAATCACATAAATCAACAGCTCTGTAAACAGATGCTTGGTTTTAATTTGCATGACTCCTGAAAACGGCATTACAGCTGGGATGTTGTACATTAACATTATGAAGTTTTCAGCAAAAGCTTTTCTTTTGTTTGGAGAGTTACAAAAAAATAGAGTAGCCAGGTGTCACTTTTGTCGCAAAGACACTTTGTCACTGTGTGCTTCTCACATCATGCAGTGATGTGTTTGATGTGATTTGTGTCATCACGTCCAATGTCTGGCAAACGCTTCAGGTGAAGATGATGCCTCTACAGTATTAGAAAAGTCAAACAGTTTACAGTTCTGAAGGCATTTCCAGTAACATTGCAAGAAAATACTGACCTAGGTCTGGCTGTAGCCCGCTGATCTTGTCGTCTATCGTCAGGTTAGTGTAAAGTGGGGTGGATTCTGAACCAGAGCGGTTGCACATCACAGAGTAAACATCAAAAAGATCCTTTACATCCTTCCGACTCCGTACACTAATTCCACAAAGAACAAATAGTCAATCTCCAAGCACTGCGTGCATGCATGAATTAACATTCCATTGAAATGGGAACTTTTTTTAATAATTGGTTGCAAACTAGACAGGCTTTGCTTAACAAAGCCTCATTATTATCCTGTTCAGGATCCAGTTATAGGTATTATTATATGTCATGTGAGCTATTTTTAAAAAATAAAGCAATTTCAGTATTAGTAATAGTGTGATCGCACTCTACCTGAATGATTTAAAAAGTTCAACAAATTCAACAAAGCTCATGTTACTATCGGAGACCATGAAATCCTGGAATCCTTTCAGTCCTCCCTTCACTCGTCCATGCCAGCTATTACTCCCCCTTGTGCTACAAGAAGATTAAGGACAGAATTAGATAACAAGTACAAAATAGCAAGAATATGTGCACCAGGAATGCCATTACAGCACATTCATTATAAAGTGCTTTGGCTCTCTCTGGACTATTTAAAAGTTGGATCTTTTCACATTAACCTTTTGATCTTTATTATTAAAATAGTGTTATTTTAGCTCCTATGATGGCTCATTTGGCAAAACTGTAATATTGCCTAGGGTGAAACTGGGTTATGCAGATCAAGAATGTTCTGGGTTAAAAGCCAAGTTTGTGCTATTGACAACTAAGACAGAAGTGAAACTGGTATAGTTGACCAGCGTCCTGGGTGAGGGTGCAAAACCAAATAAGCTAAGATTCCTACCTGTCGTCAGCAGTGCCCTGGAGTATTGCGGACCCGCCTGGCTCATGAACCGGACTACTGAGACTGCCATAGAGGGCAGGCTCAATTCCAACATTCCTTTGCCAAACATGCCACCTTGGAGTCAGTTCAGCTCCAAGGAAACCCTGCTTACCTCCCCCCCAGAATGATAAGATAACAACAGAATCAGTTTTAACTATGATGCCCTCCACTGCTAAAACCCAATATCTAGGCTCACAGATAAAGAATGGTTAGTTCTACAAGAAGTATGAAAGTAGCTGCTGCCAACTGAACTATAACCCAACATAAACCAGCACTTCCAGGAGAATTTTGTCACCTGGCTGATAATGCGTGGAAAACCACTGGGATGCTTAATGGCGTCCTAACCAGACTGAGAGTTTCACAGAGGCATGCCTTTAAGAGAGGATGGGAGAAAATTGGATACAGTGTCCTTTAATGAGTAACTTGAAAATAATTATATTTCTCTTACCCAGGTTTTGCCTTGTTAATAGTTGACAGGACTGGAGAGGAGGAAGGCCTCACTGGAGTGGATGCGGGGGGCCTAAGCTGGAGGAACATGGGGTAGTGAGGGAACGAACTCTAGCAGGAATGCTACAGGAACCAGCTGAACCGACTGTGATGCTCTGATCTGAAGAGAGATGTTAAAAAGGTAAAAGAGTCAAATGAAAATGAAATAAGGGCTGGTTAATGTCATGTGTTTTGTGGCTTCTAAAAAAATTACAATTGATCCTTCCAAAGCTATGGATACTCCTATGTCTATCCTTGGTTATGAAGTGGCTGGTTAAATGCATAGAAATAAGTGTCGACCCGGCATCTGGAATGCAATCGTACCCAACAGAAGTCTGGAACTGGGCTGTGCCTGACATCCCAGAGAACTGGAGGGAGACCTGAGATCACATCTGCTTCCACGTATTCAAATGTTAAGAAAAACACATTCAGTTTTTGGATACAGTTTTGATTTCACATGTGTGTTTTTTTTTAAATGAGTGAGGTTAGGCCTGCTCACCCCCATTAGCCGAATTAGACCGAATGGTTCCACTTAGAGAACAAGATTGGTGTTGTGCAGCAGAACAAATCAGTTTAAAAGCCCCCCCCAAAACACAAGTACTTATTTTAACATCACCTTCAGGTACAGGTCAGGCCAAGCCCATAGAGATAGAATCCAATGCTAATATTTGACCTGGAATATATTAACTGATTATACAGTGGTGACCTCTGTAAAGATGTACATTCCAAATAGTAACAATTCTAGAGTTTCTTTATCAATGATAGTGTCTGATTCTCACTGATTAAATTCCAGAGCCATCCCATAATCAACCTGCATTCATTGGCGATCACTGTTTGAAGACAGTGGATGGGTCACTACCTGATTCCTCTTGTTCAAGAAAATCGGGAGGATCAGATCCACTCCTGCTTCGAGGCTCTTTGCAGCTTCGTGTCTTGCGTGTGCAAATCTCATCATCCGTGACATCCCCACTGTCTCCCTGTGCAGAACAAGGTTTATGTTTTTCAGTTAAAGCTGATCTGTCCTTGTTATGTCATGAGCCAACAGACACAGACCAGATGTGTTACTTCAGAAAGAATAGCTTAATGTCTTCTCCTACCCTGATTAATGATTTCTTTATCTTCTTGGCAGTGCTCATTCCCAGTGTGTTGGTGCGCTGCAGGTTTGATTTTTCCGTGTTTCTGTTCAACGTCCCTGTGGTTGTGTTTCGTGTGATCCATCGCCTACCTCCAAATAGTTCAATAACTTGAGCAAGTGTTGGCCCTTCAAACTTGCCTTCCTCCTAACGTAAAAAATTTGTTCATGTTATTCAGACATTGCAAGGTTTCCTATGGGAAATGTTAACCACAATCAAATAAATAATTTTGTGAAAAGTTATTTCTCTTGGCAAGACATTTTCTTGCAAACAGAAAATAAACATCTGTGTTAGTTAAATGTTCTCAATTAAGTGACAAAAGAAAATTTTAGTGTAATTTTTTAAAAAAAAAATGTTTTCAGATCGAATTCTATTAAGCAAAATCAATCAATTATTAAATAGCATTGCAAATTTATTGCCATCAGGCTTTGAAATGGAGCCTAAATCCAATCTGAAAAAAAATCTACTCCTAATTTAATTTTTTGTTGGACCAGGAATCTGGAAGTTTATGAAACAAACTCAAAGAGAATTAGAGCAGGGTAAACTATCCTTTCTTTCTTTAGAACTGGTGTGAAACTGAAGGCGCATATTTCCTGTCAGAAACAGACACCTTTAATAATAAAGTTGAACCATACTGTGAAAGAAGTGCCACAGAAAGTACAATAATGAAAAATCTCCTATTAACAGCTACATCACTGCATTAAAGAGACACCGATCCTTGCAATATACGGTATTCCTATATGTACTTGGTATCAATTGCAGTTTAACAGAGACTAAAACAAAAGAGTGATTAAAACATTTTGTTTTTCTAAGACCACTTCTTTCTATGTTGTCACAATTACTTCTCAAATCGAAAGCCAAAAAGCTGTGGCTCAATGGCTTTTGTCACTAATGTGACCTGATGATCAGCAACCAGGAGGCAAAATTCTGATACACAGGATTGTCTTGTCAGTTTTCGTCCATCTTCCCCATTCAAATTTTTTTTAAATAAAGAAGATATCTGTTGCCAGGTTTGGAACGCCTCATCACTTGGTAAACCTTACACAACCTTACACAACTTACACAAGTCAGATACAATACAGTAATCACTGATCAAGACAAATTCAAGATGTGACTGCTAGAATTGCCACCCATTTAGCCTTCAATCCATTTAAGTTTTGATAAAAGTATCCCTTTTCTTAATGCTATTTTCTATATTCATGACGCAATACAATGTTGGAGTGAAATCTCAAAATGAAAGGAAGTTGTAGGAGGTTATGAATGTCGGTCTCATTTCTTACCCGTACTTTGATTTTAATCCACACTCAAATGCAATTTGAAGTCATATGACTTTGAATAAATAGCAATTGTTGGTATCAGTCCCACGGGTTTACTGAGGAACTGAATTGAACAAAATTGTGTTGATCTCCAGTTTGACAAAAATCCATGTTTTCTTTTATACATTTCCAGCTAGAACAACACTACAAATAGTAGGCATGAAGATTAAGTAAAATATGTAATTTCTGGCATGAATTCTTGACTTTGTTTAGAAAGGGTGGGTGAGTGAGCCTGTTCTCTTACACACCTGATATAAGTTGACATACTGTTTCCTCAGCCACTGGAGTCTCTGGTCAGGAAATTTCTTCATCTTTCTCACAGCGTTTGTTAGCTCCTGTAATCCATTGTACACCATTTTAGCGGTGTACTTAGGGGCCACAAAGTGCAGCAATCTGTTATCAGTTGTATGGACCCCATATAGCAGAGTCACACAGTTCTCCTCCAGAGTCATAGAACAAAGCTTGTTTTGTATACATACAGTATTCAGATCAATTCCTGTATGTCCCATGTAAACAGCTTTCACAGCAGACACATCCAAGAAGCCTTCTACTAGTCCATTTAGTGCCACATGTCCATATATCTGAAACTTGCTGTGACAGGAGTCTGCACTGTTACCCATTATCATGCTCTTCACCTTGGTGTGGGCTGGACTGGCAGTAGGAGGTTTTGTCCAGGTTAGAGTACAATTATCAGGTTGCAGTTTGAGAAAGCAGCGTGCAGAAAGGTGGGCCTCTTGGTCATAATGTATGACGGTTGCCCCTTGCAGAAGAAATTGATGGACGTCAGCTCTGATGGACAGTACATACCAAGGAATAAGTTCAGTCTCATGGCTGAATGCTTTCTGTTGCTCCTCAGCTCCACTCAGATCCCATTCACTGGACTGCTCAAAAGAATCACTTTCTGAATCTGATAGATCTCCGACAATGAACCTGTGTAAACAGAGATAGGAAAGTGAAAGCATTAGAGCCATTCTCCTCATTTCCTCATTTCTGTTTTGGAAGCGCGCTCAACTTCTTATCACATCCATTGGAACAACTTTCAAGGCCAATACCACTCCATGTCAGCTCACAGTTGCCATACATTCCTGTGAAGCAATATTGTGTCAAAATGCAGAATAGGTATATGGGCACTGCTTAAGAGACAATTGTGTTATACAGCTATTCAGGATTTAAATATGTATGGCCCAGCCTAATTGACATCATTAATTGAATCTTTGCACATTGCTCTACAAAGTCCATGTGCAAGAAGTCATGCATATATAAAATGCCAAACATCAAATAACACAAGTTCTCTTGGGAATAATCAAAACTGTTTTGCTTCTAGTAGCTGAATCCATGCGAGAAACACTGAAACTATGGGTATTATTTTATATTGTTTGTTAGAACAATCAATATGATTTTGCCCTGATTTGGCCAAAGATAGCTTTTTAGTAAGATTGCAGACCCTACCACCTATTCTCAGTTAGAAAAGTGCCTCATTCCCAGAAAAGAACTTGTTCTTTGAAGTTGGGGGCCATTTATATTTTCTGTGGTGCTCCAAATTCCTTCAGCTCTCTTAATTATTTTGGTCATTTTTAATGGCTTCACTCACATTCAAATCAAAAAGCTGCATTTGTCTAAAAATGCATAAGTCTGAAACTGAAAGTCTGAAAAAAGGGGCAATATAAATGCGAGTTGTTGCTGTTTTAGCTTCGAAATCAACATTTTTTAAAATTTATTTTTGATTGCCACCTTTGAACCTCGTGACTTCTCAACACCAGCTTAGATGAGGAATAGTCTCAGATTCCCGAGCTGGCCAGTGGGTATCTGAATACCACACATTCACGTGTTACAGCAGCCATGCCCGAAAGCTTCTGATTCGTAAGAGGCTGTTAGTTATTGTGTATTTGCTTGCAGATGACAACCAAGCAGAAATTCAACTTACAATACTCGATTAGATTCTGATGGTTTCTTTACTCTGGTAGTTGTGCTTAAGAGAGATATAAGAAGAAAAGTACCGAAACAGAGTAAAATTAGGCTTGCGATAAAACAAAAGGATAAGTGAGAATTCTGAAGAAGAAAAATAATGGACAGTCACATAAATATAAGATCAAATTATGACAAAATAAGTGAAATAATTTTGGACCAAATTACAATAGAAATAATATCACAAACATTTAGGCAAGCATGTTTTTGGCATCAGTCAAAATGATGGATCCCTATGTTCAATTTGTGTCCAACTGCACATGATTCATAACCGTTCTGCCAGAACTGATGTTAGCCATGATACAATAGCGACAGCTTTGCAATTTCAAAGTGAGTATTTGTGAACTTAAGTGTCAGACCAAACTGACATTGTTTATTGTATGGATCCAAGGTAAACCTCAGTCAGAAGGCAGATTAATTTTTTTTTTTAACCTTCCTCTTTGCACTGACTGTAATGTGTTTACTTAAATAATGACGTTCAGATTCATGTCATTGAAAACCTAACACTTCAAGCATGAAATCAAACTGAAGTTTTGTAAATTCAAAAATATTGAAAGTTAGGTCGAGTTCCACTTAACTGCTAAACACACAAAGCTGTTCGAACATCATTTTGTGGATCATATACATTAAAAATATATTGCCAAAATGTGAGTAATTTAGCTCTGAATAAACCCAAAATAAAATATTTTATGACCCAAGAAACTATCCTCAAAGAAAAATCAAATAATTAAGTTTGTCAACAAAAAAAAAACAAGTGCACAGAAACGGTACAAAATATAGGTATACTTGTATGTATGCTTATCAACATAAGCTTTAAGGAGTAAGGCTAGTGTTTGCAAAGTAGAAGGTTATGTTAGTTCAAGCCGTACCCACAATAGAAACTATTGCAGGCACCCAATGATGTGTTTAATGGTTCAGTACTGTTACAGATGTCATTTCTGATGAATTTTCTGCATATTAAATATCTTGAGGAAGTAATAACAGGAGTAAAGGGTAGCCATAACATTCTTGCCAATATTCCCCTGCAGTCGAGCTTGCTGGCATTCTTATTGTAAAGCTGTATCTCCCAATTTCTGAAGTGAAATTTTGAAATTAATAAGGTGTGGGAGGGAGAGCACAAAATACATGGGAGGTCCTGGTGAACTTATTGTTAGTGTAACTGGAGCCAAACAACTGTGTCAATGACAGTAAGTCTAGATACCATTGCAATAGGATCAAGGCAGATCTGTTTGTAAGCTGAAACAAAAAAAGAGATTGCTGGGAATACTCAGCAGATCAGGCAGCATCTATGGAGAAAGGAAAGTTTGACCCATTTTCCTTTCTCCGTAGATGCTGCCTGACCTGCTGAGTATTCCCAGCAATCTGTTTTTGTTTCAGAATTCCAGCATCTGCAGTATTTTGCGTTTTATTTCTGTTTGCAAGCTTTCTATTTACTTTCAAAATTGCCATGTGTCTGGGTTAGTTATTTGTTTGTTTGTTTGTTTTCCACTCCCACAGTACTTTTTTTCATTTCGGTAGCAACCAAAGAAAAATTTAACTTGAATTGTGAGGTTTAGCTTAGAAGGAAGAATATTTCATAGTAGCCGAAAAATATGCTACATTATTTAAAAAAAGAGGAATTCTCCCTTTGATTACTTTAGTACACTTCAGCCTAGAAAACATGTAAATTATCTGCTGTTGATATTGTGAGATGCTACTATAGGTCTACTTCATACACTGTGATGAATACAGTTAAAAAATGTCATTAAAAAATTTGTTCTAATACTTACTGATATTTGCTTCTATCTTTGAAGGAGTTCTTCCGTGTAGTACAATTGTCGCTGGCATTCTCTTCTCCTTCTTCAGATTCTACGTTTCTGTTACAGCTTCGAATTATCTGGAGGATGCTGTTCACTGTGGACTCCTTTTCTATATTGTTAAGTCCATCTTTCCCAATTCGCTGCAAAAAATTGTTCTGTCCATTGTAGTCTGCAACAAACTGAGACAAATAATTTCTTTCAGTGAGAATCTGTCCCCAATGATTATGATGAAATGGCCATTAAAACTGGAACATTAAAACTGGAAACATTGTCCGTATTCAAACAAATAGGATATAAGACCTTATCTTGTGAATAATTGTCCAATACATACATCTACCACAAGAAATGCAATCAGGGACTGGTACCTTAACAGGCAACTTGGTTTACCTTCCAAAGTTTAAATGCCTCGGTATAAAGTTTGACTTACACCAACATTCAATTACATACCCAGTAACCCAGTAGTTCAATTTAAATTACATTACTCAAAACCTTTTAGCAGATCAACTGCATCATTTCCTATTAAAGCATATGCAAGGAACATATTGGATTAATAGAACCCCTCCCTGCTCCCTCTTACAAAAAAAAATCTTTGCAGTTCTGGTAAAAGAGTTCTCTGAGCAGGCTGCTTCTGTCTGTTCCAGGAACTCAACCTAAAAAAAATCGGTAAAAGGAAAACATTGTCCTTACAATGAACAGGCGAATGCCAATGTCACCAATAACACTCCTCACATAAAATACCATCACTCAGTAAATCTTCCATAAAAAGGAACATTATTATCCATGCATTTTCTGAGATAAATTTACGGTCATCACTCAATTTGCCCTCATTGTCAGTGAATTCTCTTACCTCTATGGTGTCATCCTGGGAATCACAGCGCGAGTGAAACTTCATTAAACTGGCTGCTCCATCCAGCACGTCACAGAGCTCTTTTAGAAACACACCACAGAAGGGAACCACTTTGCAGCCGGGTATATTCAGAGCCCGGCTAACTACTTTCCTGTATTCAGATGATGTTTCATGTTGTGCCATAGCATCTTTTAGGCTTCGCATAGTTTCAATGTCAGACTGGTCCATGAACTGCCACATCTTTAGTACTTTCCTGGACCTGCAGCATGAAGGTTACAATATCATAAGTACATTAAACACCCTCAAGCTGTGCATTTCTCACACCGTGTATCCATTTGACATCTCTGAATCAGATTTCTAAATCAACGTGGGTTTTGGCAGTTTTGTGTGTCCTAATTCCACCCATTCAGCCCAGCTCATTCCATGCAGGATATTTACAACTATAGGAAGGTATACAAGAATTTGATTTGTACCCAGACTCGGAGGTGATTTGGACACAGGTCTTGCAGGAGGTGATTTGGACCCAGGTCACACAGTGCTGCCTAATCTCCTGCAAAGTACAGTACCCATTACTCCCAGAGCTTGTTCCCTGATCAGCATTCATCTTCCAGATTTCCTATCACATATTTAGCATTGACTACAGTTAGATTTTTGAGTCCAATTCTTGGTCCAGTATCACTCATTAATCTGATTCACCAAACTTCTGGCTTTCACTATTTGAGGCCACTTTCTTTTATGACAAAACTCAGTTTATGTTACACACAGATTGGAAACGTTCAAACCACTACAATACCACTATAACGAAGACAAATATCATAATTGTAACACAGTTAAAAAACATTATTAGCAGGGGAAAAAGTCTGCGACTGAGACTGGGCTGAACATGTTGTTGGAGAACAGAGGGAAACATATCTATGGCTAACACTTAAACTAAATCTTTTAAAAGATTTATTCTCTACTGAAGCAATATTCACCTGGACCATCTTGTATTTCACCTTGGTTTCCAGAATATACATTATTATTTACTGAGACATTTACGATTCAAAATTATATATTTATTAAGGAGCCAGTGAGTCTCGATGATTGAATTGTTTTTAATATATTTTGTCATAAGGTTACAGCTCATTGTTGGTGCAATCTTTATTATATTAAGGTTGGAGAAGCTAAAGAAAAAATTCTTTAGAAAGAAAGCACTCGCACTACATGAGATTAATAAACTGTCCCACCTCTCGACTCCATAGCCTGCCCACACTCGCTTTGCCAGCTCACATTTGAAGAATGGTTAATTTGGCAAGTTACATGATGCAATATTAAGCAACGAAAAGTGCAGCCAATATAGTGAATCAACAACTAAAGTCACTGACTGCAGCCTGTGCCGACACTGTCACAATGATTGTGCCAGAAGCCAGTCTCTGGATTTATTGACCTGCATATTGTTTTTGGAGGCTTGCAGAATACCATTGGTAAGTTCAATATTTGGTATAGGCCAGCTTCGGGCTTAATCATTGTGACAGAGTCAGGAAAGAAGGGCACTCTTGCGCGCCCAGTCAATATTTTTACTTATTAAACTGACCTTGTTGACCGCACTTTTTCAACAACATGCTAATTACCTCATGTCTCAATTTAATCATATTGTTACCAGTACAATTCCTCAAGCAAGAGGAACAATACTGAAATCATACAGTTTCAAATCTCCACAGTGGAGATATGCAAGAGGTCCAGAACAAACTCCTTCTTGCAAACTTTGTGATACTTGGCCCAAATGTAATGGAGTAGAATTGTTTCATTGTGAAATACAATCCGATGCAAATTCACCCCAATTTAAAGCAAATATAATCTTATAGAGATGCAGAAAATGTATTCTTTGAATTCCTGAAAAATCTATTGCTAAAGCTGCTTGGACCTAACTTATTTAAAAGCTGTGTTTGAACAAGTGCCAAACTCAATTTTTGATCAAAGCAGCTTGTATTTAATATGGAAAAATGCAATTCTGATCTTGCTTTGAACCTACTTTAGTGGAGGAATGAATCAACAATACCTGAGGCCCGCCAGGAATTCCATTACAGCATTGTAATTACCCATGTTCCAGCAACACTTGGCCACGTGTACCACGTAAGAGAACACTTCTCTCTTTTCTTCCATGGAGCCAGCTGTCAGAATCAGCCATGTCACCCAGGAGCTTACCTGTAATAGGATGAGCACTGCATTCAAAAGGCACATTGTACCATACGTTTGACTGTGTAATCAGTATTTATATCTAATAACATCATTATTACTACAATTAATTCATATTTTACCCACAAATTGTGGTAGGGTACAATTTAATTCTATGAACTCTTATCATATTATCTCATGTAGCTCAGATGCTGAACTATCCAAGATTACCTGTGATTGGAAAGGTCTATATCTGAATCCTAGTGTATCTACTAATCTACTGTCTGAAAAAAACATCCACCTGTAGACATTACTTCCATCAAGGAAGCCAACATCTGAAAGTGTACGGCAAACCCAACTGGCTAACTGCATATTTACCATTAAGTCCTAAATCCAGTTGAACTGCACTTATTGAGGGGTCACAAATTTATTTAATCAGACATTCAAAGCTAGATCTCAATCCAGGTCCCAGATATTAAATCAATTCACTGTATCCATCAGTCATGTAATAAATTCACTCCACCAACCAGTCATCAAAGGAACAACATTTTCAAACACATTAGAATAGATTTAGGCTACAAGACTGAAATAGTAGAGACAGTTTATGAACTGAGGATTAAAGTTGAGAGTCAGACAGACAAAACTTTGGCTACAATTCCAACATCAAGGACAAATCTGATTGTCCAGAGCTGAATGTGATTCACAAGCCAAAACTTCCCTGAACAAACAAAGGAACCCAGAGTTTTATCATTGGAATTTGACTAACTACAAGCCAATCAGTTTTTGTTTGAATTATGCCAACAAAAGTTTGTGACTTTAAGGGAGGAGGGAGAGAAAAAGTAAAACCAAGATCAGCATTAAAATAAAGTGTAGTAAATCAGATCTTATAGTTTCAATTGTAATAATATCCTTATTCATTACACAAACATTTTGTAAGAATTACAAAGGGAGTAAATAGAAGGTTTCCATGGGTAGAGATATTACTATTGGCACAATCAATTAATTGCCATATTAATTGACTGTGACTTAACATTCAGAGAAACAACTTTGACAAGGACATTTATCTTTATATATAGATATATATACCTTGTCTGTATGCATTGGAACGACACAATAAAACAAAGAACAGTTACAACATCAACAACAACTTGCACTCATATAGCGCCCTCCAAGCAGAGTAGTGTCTCAGTGCACTTGCCTGACTCCGAGCCAGGGTGGGGTGGGGGGTATGGGGAGGTGGCCGAAAGCACAAAGATGAAGATTTTCAGGCACGACTTGCAAAAGAGGAGAAAGGGGGCAAGGCAGAGGGATTGAGGGAGAGTGTTTCAGAGTTTCGGGACTTAGTGGCTGTAAGCACGACCTCTGATGGTGGGCCGGAGGGTGCGAGGGACGAGCAGGAGGCTGGAGATAGTCGACTGGAGGTGGAGTGAGGAGGATGGAGAGGTAGGGAGGTCCCAGAGAGTGAAGGGATTTGAACACAGCTGAGCTGCAAAGAACAGACAGTCCTTATAGACAACAACTGGGTGAGTGTGTTGCAGCTTGTAGCTCAATCCAACCATTAGTCTCTGCAAGCCAAGCACTACACATAGCATTTGTCAATTTACAAGTGCTTGCTGAGATTAAGGAATCTGGTGTGACAGCTCTTTCAAACTAGTAGCAGTTTTACATTATGTGACAGTAAGAGATTATGTCTACATCTGTAGTCCTGTAGCTCAGTGGTTAGAGCACTCGCCTCTCAAGTGAGAGATCTGGGTTCGATTCCCGGTAGGGCGAAATCTTGGGCAAGTTTCCTTATTCCACACGCCTGATAATAATCCCTCAAGAAAAAAAACAATAAAAATTGGTCACTTCAATCCATGACTGTTTGTGGGACACTGCTGTGGGCAAGTGGCTGCCCATTTCGCCCAGAAATATACAGTCAATTCACTTTACAGTACATCTTGTGAAGTGCTTTGAGACATCTAGAAGATGTGAAAAACGCTGTATCAAATGCAAGGATTATTATTATTATTGTAGTCCTCACCAGAAACATCACAGAAATGTGTATTTCTCAAAAAATACGGAGCAGGCCATCAAGTCGGATTACTTTTCAAATATCATCAAGCGTTTTCTCACATTGCCCCTCAAATTTTCTTTACCATCATAAATATAATGAAACTGATCACTCTCAGCTTCCACCACCTTCATATGAAATCTATTCCTCATGTAAACCACTCTCTATGTAAAGTAGTCATACTTAGAACTGTCCATTCGCCTTTTTCATTCAGAATTTGAGATCATGTGATCCACACTGAATAAAATATTGCTGTTTAATTTTGTCTGTATCCTGTAACCCTTTGGATCAGAAAGTCTTTAAAAAGATCAACCCTCGATTGTTTATTCTCTAACATAAATATTTGCAGCTTCCAAAATCTTTCCTATTAGCTCAAACCCCCAATTCTATACACAGTAAATTGGATGAATCTGAATCACTAGAATTTCTGCCCAGAAAAGGACAGGAAAAAAGCTCAAAGTACTGTTATATAAAAAAATCCATCAATTATTGTTAACGAACTACTGGTTTAATCCCTGTGTTACTGGAAGTCACCCTCCCTCTTTGTAAGTGGAGCCAAAATACTTATTATATAAGCGATTTCTGGTGCCACAAATTACATTCTTAGACACAGACTTCCAGGCAGTTACAAGCAATATCTCACTCAACCCATTGAACAAACCACAAAATCCTAGAAGTGTCGGGAGACTTGAATCCTCCCGACGTGAAAGGCACTCTATACATGTAATTTTGTTGTTGTTGTGTTGAGACTTGGCCCATCTCACATTTCATGTCAATATAGGGGTAAATTTCAACACAGGCAAACAAAATGATCAGAAATGTTTTTTGTAAACAAAATCAAATGCATTCTTTAGGTGAAGAGACAAACCCAAATTGCTGCTTGTTCAATGTATTGTAGCTGTAAACATCTGATCTGTGATCTGCAAAAATCAAAATCCGACCTGGCATTACAATAAACTACTGAATTGTGAAACTCAATATAGTCCGAAGGCATTTGCTGCAATACCTGTTTTAGGACTTACTGTATATGTTTAAGTAATCGCGATCCGTGTGTTGAAGACTGTACCCCAGACTCAAAGCTACATCTGGCAATAATGAGGCAATTTTCAAATATTCCTGAAATAAATTGCTTCTCCCTGTGATTTTGGCATTTATTGCTTCTGTTGTTAAGGATTAAAGTACCAAAAATGCAGAAATTATTTCATCTCTGATACATAAGTCAGCTGTTCTGATAATCAGCTTGGCACTTACTCCTGGAAAAGATTTTAGTCTCAGTACATACTGTTTGATTACTTCAGACAAATTTTCCACCCCACAGTCACGCGCAGACTTGCAGACACCAGCGTAACTCCAAGACACATAGCCTATAACAACCAACATAATTCAATCCTTCAGTTGTACAGTTTGTTATACATAACATTTACCAGTTAAAAACATGAGGGAAAACAGAGGCTTGAGAACATGCTATTGAGCTCCCTCCTTCCAATAGCATATATACAATTTACTTTATTTTATCTTTTTTCCCCACTTCCTGCTTTCCTGAAAGTGTTTGCCTCTATTCTCCTTTTGGATACAGTTCCTTAGGTGCCAAGCCTTCCATTATCTCAACTGTGTGAGTTGATTGTGAGGTTGGCTATCCTAGACCAAACTCCACACAGTTGTACCTTGCAATAGAAGTCTCCAGATTTGTTTAGATTTAGTAAAGAAACTTCCCGCCTCAGCCCCTGTCTAAATCAGTCATATTTCCCTTTTGCAAAAAGTGCAAGTTCCAGCGTCAAGGACACTCACACAACACCATGCAAATTTAAATTCCAGCATTTAAACTACCATTGATTTCATAATCAATCCACAAGATCAACCTCTAGAACCAAGTTACACTTGGTCTTTAACCAAAAGTTTGAGAAGTCTCCAAATAGCAACCAGGAGGAAAATGTTTTTTTCCCGCTCTTTAACCCAAAGGTAGGGTTTCAAACCTACACCTTTCTAGTTTTGTAAGGCCTACTGCTTCACTCAACTGTTGCTTTACCCACTAGGCCATATTGTTGCTAAAATACACAGGGAAATTTGATGCGTAGATGGCAAGCATATGTGGAACTCAGTCTGGTTTGGATACTCTTAAGCATGGTGATGGGTTTCTACATGTGTCAGACACCTGGCTGACCCCCAAAAAGTGTCAAATTGCAAAAATACACAAAAGACTGATTTCCAAACTCATTTAAACAGAGTGAGAACACATGATGTATATCTTACATGATTTTGTGCTTTTCCATTAATGCAGACTTCTGTATTTCACAATGACCATCAAAATCATAAACAAGGCCTCAAATGCTTTGGCCTCAAAACAGATGTGTTTAGCTATGCCCCTTAAAGGGACTTTGAGCTGAATTATCTTTTGATGCTACAGATACTCTTCTAGAAGGAGATCACAAACCAAAAGTGATTCTGGAATATGACCTAAACATTTCTACACTAGATCCATAAAACCTGACATAGCGTTATATCATATAAGGTTTTTCATGATTCAGATGCTGCTGTTTGAAAAAGTTAGATGAAGAAAAATTGCTGATGAAACCAACATTATAAATCATTTTCATGACTGATACTGGAAGCAGAAATTGAATCATCTCCCTGCACCAGAACTCCGGGTGGACTATTTAGCCAGTTTACGAGATTGTCTCATTTCTCTCCGTGCAAACTGCTAAACGCAGCTGTAACTGCTCAACTTGCTCCTCCTCCACAGTGTGAAATGTTACATTTCCCTCTGACCTCAATTATAAGTCGCACATAAATCATATAAGCTGAGTTCTGTGCAGTTTTGCATGTCTTAAACGACTTTTGATTATTGAAAACTGTGCTAAAGGCCATAATCAATAGGTGGTTTACCTCAACACCAGAACTAGTATTAAATGAAGAGGCATTACACTACACTAAATAACAAAATGCATTTGTTTGATCTCTGGCCTGATGACACGTCCAG